AGATACTTTATATCAATTAGTAGAAACTAGTGAGGATCTTAAAACAAAAAGTGAAGCCATTTCTTGAGCAACATATGAGATTGAAAATTTTGAATTTCTATTAGGCATGATTATTTAGTATGATACGTTGTTTGCTATTAATACGATTAGTAAATATTTACAATCTAAAGATATGGATATTGCTATTGCAATAAACCACTTAAAAGGTCTTTAAAAAAAAAAAAAAAAAAAAAGCTATAGAGAAAATAGGTTTACATCTTCTATGATCTTGGCTAAGGAAATTGCAAAGCAAATGAATATAGAACCAAAATTTCGTGAAAAATGTACAATAAAAAGAAAGAAACAATTTGACGAGATTGAAAATGAAGACATGAAATTATATATTGAAGAATATTTTAGAATTAATTATTTTACATATTTAGTTGATCATGCGATTTCCTCTCTTCAAAATAGGTTTGAACAATTTCAAATATATGAAGATAATTTTGATTTTCTTTATAGTGTAGAAAAATTAAAATCACTTAATGATGATATTTTGAAAAAAAAATTGTTTAAATCTTGAAAACTTTCTAAAGCACATATGCTTTCCGATATTGATAGTTTGGATTTATTTTCAGAATTAAAAGTTTTAAAAGAAATTATAACTATTGAAATAAAAACACCACTTGCCGTACTAAATTTTATAAAAAAGGTAAATTTTTTTCCAAATGCATGGATGACATATAGAATACTATTAACTACTCTGTTACTATAGCTTCGGTTGAAAAAAGTTTTTCAAAATTAAAATTAATAAAATCTTATTTACGTTCAACTATGTTATAAGAAAGATTTAATAATTTAGCTATATTATCAATTGAAAAAGATTTGCTTTGTAAACTTGAATATAAAAATTTAATTAGAGATTTTATATCTCAAGAAACAAAAAAATAATAATATTTAAATAATATTTAATATTTATTTATTTTATAAAAGAGTTTTTAAAATATTATTTTATCTAGTACTACGCATATTATAAAGTCGGCTTGTTCTCAGCCTGCAATTGGTCAACTATAAATGCTTTAAGGAAGACGCTGTACCTCCAGAAAAGAGCCAAGAAGGAAAACAATAGGGCTCACATCCAGGGATAGTACAATTTTCAGAGAAATCAAGGTCAATGATACAGTCTGTCTATTTCTTGCAAATTCAATTCATCCATCGATATAGGAAGAATAATTTATTTTTTTATTCATCACAAGGCCTTTTGTGTTATACAATGGGATAGTTTTTCCCAAAAAAAGAAAAAATAATAAAATAAAATTGAAGCTCCTAATACTCAGAATCTTACTTTACTTTAAAAAAAATATATATATATATTTTGATACACAAGTTTCCCATTACATAATTACATAAATAATAATAATAATAATTGAAACTCCTAATACTCGAATCTTATTTTACTAAAAATTAAAAAAAGAAGAAGAAGGTTATTTTGATGCACAATTTTTAAGCTAACCTGCTTGTATTGGAAGAATAATCTTTACTCGAGTAAAATTGCACTTCAAATGATTCGATTCTTGAACACAATTATTGCTCCAAAATCTCATCCACCCATCTAACAAAAACACTCATCTCTCTCATCATGGAAAGTCTCCATTCCACGGCATCCAAGGTATCTTAAGATTGGAACGCGCTCGAGCTTGTTTTTCGTATAAAATTGGAGATTTAAAGTTGTCCTCTAAAGATATCTCCATCCGCTTGAAAGTGTACTAGTCCTTGCAGCATCTTAAAAAACATGGTTTCTTGTTTTTATCTTTTGTTTTAAATTGTTTTTTTCTAGGAGAAAGCACTCAGGTGTTCCCCCACGGGTGCGCTGGTCTTTTCCTTTCGCCACTACGTGCAGCGGGATTGGAAAGCGAAAGGAAGAAACCGATGAAAATTTTGAGAAATTCGCATCTTTCAAAACTATTTTGTTCGTTCATATCTTCTACTGTAGTGGGATTACTTCCTTCTTTGTTTTTTATTTTTTCTATCAATAAAGAATCTTCGTCGATTAAAAGTTACTATATTCGTAATAAATATTTTTTTCTTAGAAAAAAATTTTTTTAATTGATTTTCAGTTTTGAAAGCATGAAGGTACAAAAATGTTATTCATCCACTGTTTGATCATAATTATTCACAGATTAACAACGATTTTACAATAAAAATTATCTCGTTCTATTACAATATAACAATTTTAGGTATTTATTATCAATTTATATAATTTGAATATTAAAATATCAGTTTTTAAGTAAATTTAATCCAAATTCGTTAATTTTAACGGTCAATCCAATTGATTTTTTTTTCTTTTCCTCTATTAATTTTTTTTAGATGTTAAAAATGTTTTTTTCTCTAATTTTCAAGAGATAATTTTTTTATCACATGTTTACCTATATATAAATAAAAAAAGTTCATTAAATTTATCACTAAATTTTTGTTGTTCTCCCTAGAAAATAGCTTTCACTTTTTTAACCTATCTTTGAAAAAACTAAAAATAAAATACAATTAGAAAAGTTAAAAAAATGGTTTTCTAATTCTAATAATTTTAAATACATATTATATATTTGAATCAATTATGAGGAAAAACTCCTATAAAACATGTGAATATAAAAAAATACAATTATATTTAAAATTTAATAAAATTTAATGATAGACAATCACAGGAATAAATTTATTGACATGAGAAAAGAAAAGTTTCAGTTAAAATTAATTATTTGATAATTTCAATCCATCAAATTCAATCAATAGATATTTTTATTTTATAAATGATAGAAGTTGGTTGTTTTAATGGATAATGATACTAAATAAAAGTTATTTTTTAAAATTAAAAAATATTATATACAAATAACAATTTGATTGATTCTGAAAAATTAAAGGGATTAATATGTAAAAATTTTAAATAAAAAGAATCTCTCTTGAAAAATAGAGAAAAAATATTTTTAATATTTTTCTAAATTAACAACGAAAAAAACAGCAGAAAAAAATTGACGATCAACTGATTGACTATTACGATTAACAGATTTAGATAACATTTGTAAAAAAAAAAAACCAATATTTTTTGAATTTAAATTACGTAAATTGATAATAAAGAACTGAAATTGTTAAATTATAATAGAAGGAAGGTGATTTTTACTATTAAACCGGTTAGCAACTATGCATGGGGAAGGATTATAAAATTCAACCAGTACTGTCCAATAATTACTAAAATTAAGTCATGAGCCCTTATAACTCGATCGATGACAGAAAACTAAGTGCCAAACGTACTAGGTTCAAAACTGCAGAACAAACATACCGAGCAAATTGGTTAGTGTGGTTCCAGTTACACACACACACGATCAGTCCCACTAAAGGAGGAGTTGACCATGTATAATATAGCGTCTGTAATGAGATAATATAGCATAGCAGCCAGCTTCCAGCATGCTCACATCCTAGGAAAGCGAGGAAGCCACTTCTGTTTATTCAGAAATGAGAGAGTGAGATTCTTATGAGATGTATTTTGCTGCAGTTCGACTGATCATCTCTCCTCTTTTTCATTTCTCTTAAATTTGGAGACGTTTCCTGAATCCATTATTTTCTTACGCCAAGCATCCCACTCTCGTGGACTGGAATATGCAACTAATCTATTCAATTTAACACAGTCGACAAACACCAGAGTCATTCTCTTGAGCAATAAAAACACAGAACAGAGATATATTCTAAAAGGGTGCTCAACCTATCAAATCACCTGCATCTGCTGTGCCAAATTGTAGAACTCTCCAAATTGGATATGGCTGAACCAGAACTTGACCTGTTACTAGTATCTTCATCTACGACCTCTCTGTACATAAGATCACATAAAAATATATTGATAGAAAATACAAAATTTATAGATATATTTTTATAATATGTTAATAAAATTAAAAATGGCAAATTTAAAAGAGAATATATAGAAAGTAAGTTTTAGGGGAAAAAGAAAAAAGAAAAAGAAATATCTTATGAGGAAAAAACCTAGACTTGGAATTAAGCCTGTCTATGGTCCAAACAAGCCTGGGCCGTACTCCTGTTCAGTCTTTCCAATTTTACTTTCAACTTTGGAAACATCGATTTTTTATTAATCGCGTCAGAATCCGACAAAGTCAAATATTCACTCTAAAATCCTCATTTTCTCATATTTTCGGCTAAAAAACACTTTTAGACACTCATCTTATCTTTCTAAATACAATTCTAACATTAGAAATTATTTTTTCAAAATTTTTATTTGAATAAAATCAACAAAAAACTTGATTCGGAAGTTTTTAGATCTAAAATTTAAAATCCAAATATCTTTCAATTCTAGCAATAAAATGATAAAAAAAAATTGGTTTTTATAGATTTGTGATGATGATAGCTTTTGGTTGATGGTGGTATTGAGAAGGCAATAATGACAAGATTATATCATCGAAAATTTTCTCTCTCTTCTTTCTGTTATATATATATATATATTTGTTTAAGCAAGTTCAATGATAAAAAATGATTTATCCAAAATAAACGACTAAGATTGATAAGACTAGGACAAGGCTTGAAATTTTGAAAAGTTTGGAAGGATAGATTTAGAATAAAATTTCATAGTTTTTTCTCTTTTTGTTTTTATTCTGTAAAATGAAGGTACATATATGTTACTTATTTTTGTCTCAGAGAAAGATAATTTTGAATTTTGTCTATGTTTTTGCTAACCAAACATTATGTTTTTTGTCATGTAGATATTCCTTCCGTCCATTATTTTGAACCAAACACTGTCTTAATAAAAATCCTAAATTAAACGCTTTTGAAATTTCAGGTACTTGATTGAAAAATAAAAAAGTCCAAGTGATTGCTTGAAAAGTCTAACGGTTGTCAATTTTTACTTACATATGTTCAGGGTCAGGAGCTAGCCGCCTTGACAATAAAGGGTTGACACGTTTCTTCTAATGACTACCATTCATGTACTAATAAACTAGGATTCACCACCATGATCTGATCTGGTTGACATGGAAGGAGAAAAAGGTACAGTATGCGTCACAGGGGGAACTGGCTACTTAGCCTCGTGGTTGATCATGAAGCTCCTGGAGCAAGGCTACTCTGTTCACACCACCATGAGACCTGACCCAGGTAATTTTCCTGTTTATTTCCTCCTATGCCAAGACATATTGAGTATATAGGGAAAATCGCATGACAATATCCTGGAGCTAAGACAAAAATTTATCTTATTTGTTGAGTAATTAGGCATAAAGTGATAACGACAAGAGAGTTTTATTTAATTTTTAAATTTTTGAATAATATTTATAATTTTATAATACTTTGAAATAATCTATTTTAAACTCTCCTTTTATATATATATATATATATATATATATATATATATAGTTATATCTTGCTATTCTTTCTAAAAACTAAAAGAAAAAAGTTAAAAATATTTTTTTTTATCTAAATTATCCTTTATGGATTAAATTTATCTCTATGATAATTAGTAAGTAGATTTTAATTATAAAATAAAAAACATATTTTTTAAATGAAAAAAGAGTTTTAGTTAAAATTTTCAATTTTGGAATGATATTTGTAATATCTTAAAAGAGTTTATTAATTTTACTTATTTTTATTTTATAAATAAGTGGAAACATAAATTTTGTTATGAATTTTTAGAAATATTCACTCAAAAGGGTTAAAAGACTATATATCTCTTTATCTTTTTTTTCATTGTTTTTCAAAAATTATTTATTTAAATTTGATATAAAAAAGGTAGAGAACAAGATTAAGGTAAAAAAAAAAAAAGAAGTTAATGTAATCTTATGACGCTAATGGTGTGATTTATCACAGTTAGTCCAAAAAGTTAAAAGAAGAATACTATTAAAACATAAACAAAACATAAATAGACGAATTTAAAACGAAAAAGAATGTGACACAATAAAAGGGAAAGAAAGAATTGAAGAATCTTGCGATCATTAACTAAATAAAAATTCAAGGGTTGTAAGGGTAGTTTGTACCATTTAGCCATTCTATTTTGAAATGTTCTATTTCATCGGATATCTTAAATTCATTTATATTAAAATCAAATTTTCATTTTTTTTTTCAACATTGTGATATATATGTGACCAGAACACAAGAGGGACGTTAGCTTCCTAACAAGTCTACCAGGAGCTTCAGAGAGACTACAAATCTTCCATGCAGATTTCAGTGACCCCAACGGCTTTGGTGTGGCTATTAAAGGATGCATTGGTGTCTTTCTTGTAGCTACCCCTGTACCTCTAGATTTTGGAAAAGGAGAATCTGAGGAAGTAGTTATCCAACGAGCAACCGATGGAACATTAGGAATCTTGAAGGCTTGCTTGAACTCAAAAACAGTGAAACGAGTTGTGTACACTTCTAGTGCGTCAGCAGTAGTTTTTAATGACAGTGGTGTGGACGTAATGGATGAAAGTTTTTGGAGTGATGCTGATTGCATCAAAGCCTTAAACGTATCCATAGGTCATTACTTTATTTCCAAAACATTAACTGAGAAAAGAGCTATCCAATTCGCAGAAGAACATGGATTGGACCTTGTAACATTAATCCCAACCTATATTCTTGGCCCCTTCATTTGTCCGAACATGCCTGGTTCAGTTCACACATCATTGGCTATGGTGCTGGGTAAGTGCTCTTTGGTTGGGACAGAACGTTGATGTTTAGTTCGGATTTTTCTTTTACGATTCTCTGAAAACTTTTGATCTAATGGACATCATCGATTTCAGGTGATAAGGAACAGTACAATTTACTTATCAATACATCTATGGTACACATTGATGATGTGGCTAGGTCACATATTTTCCTCCTTGAATATCCTGAAGCAAAAGGGAGGTATATTTGTTCTTCAGACATAATAACAATTGAAGAGATGTCTAAATTTCTTTCTACCAAGTACCCTGAGTACCCGATTCCAACATTAGAGTGAGTAATTTCTATCCTTATCTGCAACATTCTTCATTTAATCTTGAGTTTGGAAAATTAACGAAGTTTTAATTATGTTCCTTTTTTTGCAGATCTTTAAAGGATGTTGAAGGCTATAAATTCCCTGGTGTGTCCTCCAAGAAACTTCTGGATTCTGGTTTCAATTTTAGGTATGGGCTTGACGAAATGTTTGATGGAGCAATTCAATGCTGCAAAGAAAAGGCTTTTCTCTAGTTCACGGTAGGACACATTACTCTGTGTGACTCAAGTGGAACAGTGCTAGAAAATCTCTTCTTGAGTGGATTCTAGACAGATTCCTGAACAGGTGTTGAATTGTATCTGCGCGCGCGCGTTTTTGTAATTGTTGCATCAGAATGAATAAGGCGCAAACACCAGTGCAGAATTTTAGTATTATTTTGCATTTGATTCTAGTTATAAGAACACATGTTCTGCTCATGATTGGATTTAACATTCAAACATGATGTCTTTGTACAGAGGAATAAATGTCAAAAGGCTAGATTTTTTGGACAAATGAAAAGGACGGAAAAGACAGGACCATAAAAAACCTGAACATTTGTTGCTTTTTGCCTGACGAGCAAAGAGAAAAAAAGAAAAAGAAAAGAGTGAACGTCTCTTCGATCTCTTAAACAAAGAAAGCGCCGGTATGTTAAGACTTTTCATTAATTACAATCCACAGAAACTAGAGGTGAAGGGAGGTTACCTGCCAAAAAGCGAACTAGCTTGCTCTTACGGAAAACCAGGATAGGCGGCAAATTATGTGGGATCGTTCTTCAATGAGAGACTCAGAGAGAGACACACAGAGACACGAAAGGAGATAAAAGGACAGTATGTGTTACAGGTGGTACTGGCTTCGCTGCTTCATGGTTGACCATCAGTCTCCTGGAGCAAGGCTACTCTGTTAACACCACCATTAGACCCGATTCAGGTGAAAAATTTATCTTCTGGAGGTTAAGAAAATGGAATTGGTGAGCATCACAAGATAAAATCCTTAAACTAAGACAAAATGTTCTCACGAGAATGGACTCATATTAATCATGGATAAATGAACTCTACTCTCTCCTGGTTAATTTATAGAAACTTTTGTGGATGGAAATTGAAAATGAGCCTAATCTCATCTACTGAATTCTACTGTAAACAGATTAATTTCCTACTTGGAAAGACTGTAATGCTTGAAACTTTCATTGATTTAAAGTTTCTAAATTATAAATGTCATGTTATATCCGACCCAGGTATTTTTCGTTATGCTTTAATCCTATTTAGCGAATTTCCCTCGAGTAAAAATTAAGAAGGGCTAATGATTCAATTCTAAACTCTTTTACCATCAGAACTTCTCATTCAAATTAATTATTTGGTTGGAAATTTCAATCCTTTCAAGATTTTGACACGTGAACAGAACACAAGAGAGATGTTAGCTTTCTAACAAGTCTACCAGGAGTGTCGGAGAAGCTTCAAATCTTCCAGGCAGACCTAAGGGACCCCAACAGCTTTGATGTGGCTATCAAAGATTGCATAGGTGTTTACCCCAGTAGATTTTGAAAACAAAGAACCTGAGGAAGTGGTTACCAAAAGAACAATTGATGAAACCTTGGGAATCTTGAAGGCTTGCTTGAACTCAGAGACAAGGAAGCGAGTTGTGTACACTTCTATTTATTGCGTTGACAGTAGACTTTAATTACAGTGGCGTGGACATCATAGATGAGAGTTTTTGGAGCGATGTACCTTAAACATCTACATGGGTCTTTGCGCTATTTCCAAGACCCTAACCGAAAAGACAGCTCTGGAATTCGCAGAGGAACATAGATTGGAGCTAGTGACCTTAATCCCTTCCTATATTCATGGTCCATTCATTTGCCCCAAGTTCCCTGGCTCTGTGCACGCATCATTGGCTCTGATACTGGGTGAACCTTAATGCTTAAATTCGTGTTTTTAGTGATTTCCTGAACGAACTTGTTGTATTGTAATGGGTATCATCACTTCAGGTGAGCCGGAGCAGTACGAGTTACTTGTCAATCCATCTATGTACACATTGATGATGTGGCTAGGGCACCTATCTTCCTCTTTGAATATCCAAGCAAAAGGGTGGTATATTTGTTGGGTAACCGTTTGAATAGTAACATGTACTATCCATCAAACGGAGATAGTATCCCAAATTTAACCTTTTCAATTCGAGCACCTAAATTAATTTTTAGTTTATAACCAAGTTTATTAAAACTCGAACACACGTGACAGATATATTATGGTAAAATGACGGAAAAACACTTTTCTTTTTCTTGTTCTTTTTCTTTTTCCTTCTTTCTTTCTTTCTTTCTCTTTCCTTTCCTCTCTTTCCTCTCTCAACATTCTTTCATCCCGCATTCTGGATGAGCATCAAAATCGCATTCTTCACAATGGTAGAACCAAAGCTTTCGGTCTCTTTCTTCTTCACAAATTTGACAGACAAATCGGTAGTCATTTGGATCAATATAGGTTAGCAATAGAGTATGTTAGTCTTTTTCATGACTTATCTTACGTGGTTCAACCTCCATTTCTCTCTGTCTCTCTTAGTAGAGCACGAGGAGATTTGAGATCAGGCAAGAGTTATGTACACCAGATTCAATAGAGTTAAAGCCGCCGGATACTGTCTCCAATTGAAAAGCAAATAAAAAGTATACTCATACTAGCAATCAGTATTCAATTGCTCACCTCTTGACCTGCAGCTGATCTTTTCACTGAAGGCTAAGCATGATCAAATACAGCTGCTACAGTACTTACCAACCAAAAAATGACGAAGCACACTGATTGCTTATTAACATCGGAGCTCAATGAAGACATCGATCAACTACTGAAGAATCATTGTTCTTCTTTCTTGTTATGCTATCCGTCAAAGGCTATTTGAGAGAGAGCCAAAAAAAAAAAAAAATTAATTCAAGAGACTTAAAGTGAACAAGGTTTGGTCTGTCACAAAATAAAAGAAGGAAGAGGTGGGTAGAAGATTAATTTATGCATTAGGAAAGCTACGGCTCCTCTTTTCTGTGCAGCATTTGCAGGGAAGAAGGAGGAGGAGAGGGTATTTTGTAATTTTACATAATCATGTTGGGTGTAAAAATAGACATTACTTACAAAGGGTCCTCATGTCTTTTACTTACGGATTCTGTGAGAATCATGTGCGAAAAGCGTATCCTAAATTTAATTGATGGAATTGGCCCACTTGATGACAAATCAAAAGATAATTAAAGCACTCAAATTAAAAAAAAAAAAATTGGGATGCCAGTTTACGTTTGATTGATAATACATAGTATTATTGAACCAATTATCCACATTTGTTCTTCACACAATAAAAATTAAAGATATGTCTAAATCTCTTTCTGCCAAGTACCCTGGGTACTCAATACCGACACTGAAGTAGAGTAATCCTTACCCTTTTTCCCAACATTGCAATATTTGTCCACTACAAGAAAAAAAAATAACAACAAAAAATCTCATCGCTATATCATCAATATTCATCTCTATTTATGCTTAGCAATGGATCTGTTATAATATACTTTTAGTAGATAAGATGATCGTCACTATTTTCTTAGAGATGAATATTTATTTTCGTCGTTGATTTATCCGTTGCTAAAATGAAATAAACAATCATTTTTAAAGTTTAGTATCCGTCACAAAATCGTCGTTATTGTCTTTATTTTTATTGCTAACTAGTGACGAAAATCGCTAATTCGGTCGCTCATCAATCACTAACGAAGGAAATTTTAAATTTTTTAATAAATTAAGTCATTTAATGCTAATGGTAGTAACAAACAACTAAAAATAACACATCATTAAAACTCGATATATTATTTAATAAAATTAAAATAATATAAATTGAAATCAATTAAATATATAAATGCGATAAGGTATACAAAAACATTAAAAACCTTAAAAAAAGAGAAAAGAAATCTAGTCTCTCATCATCATCATCATCATCTCCGCATCATTTTTCGACTACTTATTAAGAGGAATGACCGACTCCTAAGTTGTAAGAGACTTGCTACTTTTATTTTGTTAAATGATTTTTGTTATAGGGTTGAGTCATAAGAGACTCATCACTTTTATTTTGTTAAATGATTTCTATTATGAGTTTGAATCACAAGAGACTCGTCACTTTTGTTCTATCAAATGATTTCGTTATGAGTTTGAGTCACAAGAGACTTGCTACTTTTGTTCTATTAAATGATTTTTGTTATGGACTCAAGTCACAAGAAACTAGTCATTTTTGTTCTATCAAATGATTTCCGTCATATGCTTCGCTATCGTAAGGGACTCATTATTTTTATTTCGATTAAATTATTTTCTTTTTTTTCTTTTTTTGAGTCGTTGGTGACATCCTATTAGTGTGAATGGAGTCACCGATGACCCTCCCATCAATTTACTTATGTGAATCGAAATTATCGAGTGACTTTCTATTTATCTAGACGAAGTCACTAGTAGTTTCTTAATTGTATCAATATGAGCTCATAATCTTAAAAGACTTACTTTTTGCTAATGTAAGATTCAAGGACATCCATATATTTCATGATTCAAATCGTATGTTTAGGATCGCTAATTGTATCATTGTCTTTATAAAGGCCAAAGAATCAACGTATGATATGAATGTTCTATAAATAAGACCGTTAGGATAAAACCAGAGTACAAGATATAGGGATATCCTTATATTTTATGATCCAAATCGTACGTTTAAGATCGTTAATTGTATCATTGCTTTTGCCAACGGGGTTCGCGGAGAGGCACGGGAAAAGGAGTCGGCACCTAACTAATCGAAAAAACTTAAAAACCTTAAACAAAATAATGAGTCGATTACATATGGGGAAGATATAACATTATCGTCATCTTGTCCGACTTGAGGTAGGTTGTATTGTTTGCATGTAAAAATAAAAATATAGTTTTATTATGTTATATTTATATGCCTATTTTAGTGAATTTATTTTATTATGATGAAATGGTAGAGTGATTTGAGATTTAGGTTGATCAAATGCCTATACCTATACTTAAAAGGGGAGAGGTGAGTAGAGATTGAAACTTCCCTAGTTTTGGATAGTTTGAAAGCATTTATCGATATGGACTAATATTAATAAAGGCTATTCGAACTTCATCATGTTCGTTAGCAGGATATTCCCATATTTGTGGTCGTAATCTCGGATCACGTTTCAATGAATTGATATCAAATCCTTCTTTGATTTCAACTCTCCGAGATTTTGTAGGAGGATTTTGAAAATTTAAAGGATCAAGATCAATAGAAGAATTTGACTCCTCATTAGAGTTTGAAATGACAATATTCTTCATTTTAAAGAATGTATCGATGGTACGTGACTTTTTCATTTACAATAAAAATAAATTATAAATATGAATATGCAACAATTTCTAAAGTACAATATGCAACAAATTATAAATTCACTTAAAATGCAAATAAGATATTCAAAAAAATACATAAATAGACCACCACTCGGTCCGTCGAGAGCCACCCCCAAGCGTACTTGGTATACTTACCTAAAAATATTAAGTATTATAGCAAGCACCAACCTTTGTGTTGCTAAGATTCAAAGCCATAGATCCAATAGATACCTTAATCATATAAAATAAAACTAGAAAGACAGACTAATCTAATATTTTAATTATAAAATATTATTTAAAAAAGAAAACCGAGAGTTGTCAAGATTCAATCAATATATAAGATGAAAAACTTAACAAATTAATAATGTAAATAATATAATAAGAGTTAATAAATTATTAATTTTTAAAGAAAATACATGCTCGTATTGTCAAATAAGAGAAATCCAGATCAAAGAAAAGGTTTTTTTTATGGAGTTTTGAATAAAGTGAGAGTTAAGGAAAATGAAAGAAGGAACGAGTTTAGTAATGGTGGGAGGCTACGATCATATTAAACAAATATTAAGGGTTTTAGTAGTGCCCGGTGGGGAACCGATGGGCAAAAGTTGAAAAATATTAAAAGAGGCCTAGTTTTAGGGATGACAATGGGGTGGGATGGGGCCAAGGTAAACAAATATTAAGGGTTTAGTAGTGCCTGGTGGGGGAAATGATGGAAAAAAGTTGAAAAATATTAAAAGATAGTTGATTTTAGGGATGGCAATAGGGTGGGGTGGGGGCAGGGATCTCCATCCTTGTCCCCCCTCCCCTCACTCCTCAAAATTTTGCCCATCCTTGCCCCGTGCTCCGAACGAGGTAAAATTTGTCATACCATCCCCACCTCAAACAGGAATAAGGATCCCCATGGGGCAAACGAGGTAAAAAAATTACAAAATTTTTTTTTCCGTCTTGTCTTATTTCATTCTTCTACTAAATTTCAAATTATAGCAAAAAAACGATAGTTCATATAGAAAATAAGTTTTTAAAGTCATTAATCATATATTTTATATAGTGTATAATTATAATTTTAGGAATAAAAATCATGAAATGGGGCAAACGGAACGAGACGGGCAAATACCATCTCTCGCCACATCTCCGTTCATGAGGCACCCCGCCCTGCCCTGTTCCCCAATCAACATGGAGAATCCCAACGCTGACCAAGGCGAAACGGGATGGGGCTGGGCAAGGCTCTATCGAGACAAGGTAAATTACAATCCCTAGTTGGGTTTGTCCTATACTAATATGGGGAAAAAAATTAAAGGGGGGCCCGGCCCCAAACACCAATGAACGCAAGTCTGTTACAGGAGGTGGATTCTTAAGCCTCAATGAAAGTAGCAATACAATTAGCAATTAGCGATCCAGAATGTGCGATTTGGATCGTGAAATGTGAGGATATCCCCGAATCTTGTACTCTAATTTTATTTTGATAGCATTATTTATAGAACATGCACATCAGATCTGGATTCCTTGGCGAAAACAGCTATACAATTATTTTCGAACTGTGGAAACTTGAGACTGAAAAAGAGATTAAATTAAATTTTGTTGAAGATCCTGATATCGGGTACTTAGGCAAATGTGGTTATCTCAAATCAACTCAAGAATGCCTAATACAATTTAGACACGCACAATAAAAAAAAAAAGCGTTGATAATATTTTTTCTTTTTTTAGTCGTGCACTCCTTAAAGCCTCCAATATTATCTTTCGGTTTGTAATTATGATTTGCCTGTCTCCTTCATCAACTTCAGCATCCATGCGGTTAGCACGACTAGTAGATGCATCGGCTATATTATGCAAATCCATCTCTCTATATCTTGATGGCAATCCATCCATTCTAATTAATGAAATTATGCAGTGTCATTCTAGCAGTAACTGTTAACATTTGTGATCGAATGGAAAAGTGAGACATTAGCTTAAAAATACGTTTTTTTTAGCAAATCAAAACTCCGTTTAATCGAATTACATAGCGATGAAATAAACAGCCTCCCCTTCTCCCCAGTTTGTAAGGTGCAAGAAGTTTGGATATCCAACATAAAAAATGTAGTGCTCCTATACTACATTGATATAAAAAATCATTAATTTATTATATGTCAACAATAAATTTTGCTTGAATAGAATATTTTTATAACTTAAAGCATAAAGTTTATCTCATGGACCCCAGCGGCGGAGCTCATATAACATTTCCCTCCTTATTTTATTAAAAAACTTCATAATAATCCTTAATAGTTTAAGAATTTTGAATTTGTCCCTATTTTTTCTAGACATTTGCAATCTATAGTTTTTGAAACTTTTCCATTACTGCATGCGCATCCACTATCTAGTAATTTGTTTAAAATATTTGTATGAGATTATCATTTAAATGAACTATTTTGTGTTTTATAATTTAATTTTGATATGATCATTTCGTTTAAATCTAATATTACATGATAAAGTAATACAATTTATTGTAATAAAATCTATCAAAATAATATTTTTACGTTTCCCCTTTAACTACAAATCGCAACTCCGTCTATTCCCATTCTATTTAAAATCCTGGAGGCAATTTATTTACTAAGATCCTTGATACAATCATGAGCCTTTCCTTCCCATACATAAATCACGAATATGAATTCCAAATCAAAATCACATGCCAAACACATGGAATACCCTCTTATCAATGGAAACACTTTTTTTTTGTTTTGTTTAACTTTATTCTTTTTTAGATATATTTTAGTGATAAGTTCTATGCGAACTGATCGATCCTATTTGATCAATTACCTGGCAAAAACAGAGTCTTATGGTCCTTTCATGGGAGTATTTCTGAACAAGTTTATGAATAATACATATAAGGGGTTTTTTCAACCATTCATCAATGGACGGACGTGGCTTCCTATATTAAGTAAAAGTGTCACCCTTCCACTGCACCTAGCTAATTTGGTAGAGCTCTGCTCTTGGAATTGGGTCCATTGCATTTTGGGTGGAATAATTACATGTTGAGAATGCAGAAGTCATGCACTCTAAACTTAATGATAAAGTAAAACAACTGCAAAGCAAAAGAATTAAATCCATAAATTAAAAACTAATATTTTTAAACATTATTGGAGTAAAATTCAAAAGTAGTTTTTTAATTTAGGTCAAGATTTCATTTGTATTAGACAAACCTGTAACTTTTTTGTGAGTTAAAATTTTAATTTTTATTTAATATTAATTATATTATTATTATTTTATCCAAGAAAGAGAGCGAAAACCCCGCTAACATAACGGCCTTCTTTCAGTCTCTCTCCAGCCTCCTCCTTTTTCTCTAAAAACTACCGTATCCTCTTCATTTTCAAATCCATCGAGCTTTGCATCTCTTGTTGTTGAATTCGAAAAGAAAGTCTGCATTATAATTAGCAATAATGTCGTTCTCCGATTCTGAATCATCATCTTCTTCTCATGGCGGAGAGTACAAATTCTTCCGTCAAGTCAGCCGTGATCGTAAGCTTTATTTCACACATTTGTTCATCTTTAAGCGCGAGTGCCTGTTTATGTTGTATTTGATGTTTATAATCAATTTGTTTGAGTTTTCTGTTTGCTTGGCGGGAAAATGTAACGAAAGAAACGAATCGAGACTGATATCCTTTAATTCCTTAAAAACATGAATTTTTTTTTATTTTTTTTTACTAAACTTGAGCTATTAGAATTACCTGGAAGAATACTGATTTAGTGTTTTTTTTCTTTAAAAAAATTTCATGAATCAATTGCTGGTTTGTTCTTAATAATTTGCAACGGTTATTAAAATTCATTTTGATTATAATTTCAGGATTATTGTACGAAATGCTTGGATCAACCAGAACAGGAGATTCGAAATCCACCTGGAAGGCATGACTCGTTAGCAGTTATTTTATTTTATTTTATTTTTTCCCGAAGATATCTTCCTGAGGTTTTTTTGAGTCAATCGATTTTAACTGATTCTGTGCTACAGGTACTTATTATGGATAAAGTTACAGTGAAAGTCATGTCCCACTCTTGTAAAATGTCAGATATTACAGACCAAGGAATTTCATGTAAGATTTTCTTATGCTTGCCTATTTTATTGAGGTTTTTCAAGCCAAGTTGGTAGAATGCAGAAAAGGAAGGTATTATAAGTGTGTAATGTAGTTGTTCATTCTGGTTTACCGCAGTGGTGGAAGATCTTTTCAGGAGGAGGGAACCTATGACCTCGATGGATGCTATATATTTCATCCAGCCATCAAAAGAAAAGTAATTTTGTCTTTGTTTTGCATGACAATATTATAACAATCAAGAGTAATTTGTATTTGTTTTTCAGTTAAATGCAATCGTGGAAGCTTCCCCCTGATTGTTTATGGTTCTACATTATTTATGTCTGTTCGTATTGTATGGAATTTTAATTGAATGCATTATCAGTTTCTTCTTATTTTGAGTATTTGTTCTGAAATTTTCTCTTACCTAATGCTTACATTCCTGCTAAGAAGATGCGGATCCACGTTTAACTCTGTCTTTGCTAGCTTGCAGTGTAGTCATGTTCTTGTCTGACATGTCTGGGCGGGAGCCTTTATACAAGAAGTAAGTGAAAGATTATAGTTTAAGTGACCTGAATCATTCTAGTTCTTAAAGTTTAGAGAGATTCTGAATATGTTTCTGACCACATGCTTCTCTGCCTTTATAGAGCATTTGTATTTTTTAGTTCATCTGTTCCAAAAGAATTGGTTAACCACATCAAGTGTGATACAAGTGTGTTACCCCGAATAGGTGCTTTGAGAGAGGTAAATGTTTTCTTTCTGCTTTTGTTATTAGTAACTTACAGATGTTATAGTGCATGATTTTTCTGTAGAGCTTTCTCTTTGTAACCTTTTTCATCTTTCTTTGGTGTAATGCAGATGAATTTGGAATACTTTCCCATAGATAATCAGGTATATCATTATAGCTAGCAATATTCTATGCTGACGCTAATTGATTAGTGCGCCTTTTATCTTAGTGTGAGATTTTTATTGCTCATTCTGAATCTCTGTATGCGCAGTAAATTCATGCTGCCTTTAAGAGCTTCTTTCTTGCAAACTTAGATGGATGAAAGCACTTTTATAATTCATCTACTGCTTCAATTTTAACTTGATGGTACCAAAATAATATTAATCTTTGAAGTCTGAGTCAAATGTGATATAGGAGTCTTTTATTTTTAGCTCAATTTTTCTTTGACTTTAAACTCTTTCATAACTGGAGGTTTTTCCAATAAAGAAACGAGGAATTTTGTGCCTTCATTGACTGTCTTTTGATGAAGTCTCAACATAAATAAGGACATAGCATTCTCAAGAACTATTAAGAATCTGTGAAGAATTCCCACGATATATTCTCCATATATTGTTTCAGACTTTAAAGGAGTGTTTTGAATTGCTTTGTGATCTGAGAATTTAATGCAGGCTTTTATTACTGATCATGACGGAGCATTGGGGGAACTCTATGGTGAAAATGTTGAGAGCACTCGCAGATTTGATGCATGTTTGAATACAATGGCAACTCGAATTGCAACAGTTTTTGCTTCATTGAACGTAAGAATGTTATACAAGCAGCAGCAGTAACTGTGGAAGTTTAATCTTTTTCTCTTGTTTCTTTATCATTTTACTTTCATTTACTTTTATCTTTATTCGGTTTAGGATATACAACTCAAGTGTCCCTGATACCTCTGATCATTTTATGGAAATAAAGATGGCAATATCGAAATTTGTTTTCCTTTGGTTTTTTGGTAGGGTCAATGCTTGATTTTCATTTATGGTGATTATTTGATTCTTTATAGTTTGACAAGTTAAGATTGTCAGAAAAATGGAATAAACTTCCTGGAGAATTTGGTTGGTAAATTATTGAATTCTCATCTTAAGAAGGTCTCAACTTCCAATTCCATGCAGACTCGCAACTATGGACTAGCCTCTCATTTGGGCTTCAGTCCATCTGCAAGCCTAATATATTTGAGCAGAAAAATTACTTCATGAGCTATTTTTAGTGAGTTTGAAGGTTGGATTTGGTCGAATATTTGGTGTTACTGTCTTTTCTTGGCAGAAACAACATATCATTGCTTTCAACGAAATTTTTTCTGTTTGTAGAAAATTTATTGTTTGTATCATTTTAGGAACTACCTTTTGTACGGTATCGTGCTGCTAAAGCGTCAGATGACTCCACAGCAACATTTCGTGATTCAATTCCTTCTAAGATTGCCGCTGGTGTTTGGAACAATCTTTTAAAATACAAATCTATTCCCAACTTTCCACAGACTGAGACATGCGAGCTGCTTATCCTGGATAGATCTATCGACCAGGTTGCTAATAATTTTACTTTGATAACTTGTTTTGTTTGGTTTATAATTTTAATTTGTTGATATCTCGAACTCGCATGTTTAGATTGCTCCTGTCATACATGAATGGACTTATGATGCTATGTGCCACGATTTACTGGAAATGGATGGAAATAAATATGTCGTTGAGGTATGTCTTCATATTTGGCATTTCCTTTGCGTGGGTGGGTATTCGGCGGGCTGCTCCATTGTTTTAAGGTCTTTCTTTTTGGACGTATTCTTCTTTTTGGGTGAAATATTTGCCTTTCAGCTCCCTAGCAAAACAGGTGGCAGTTCTGAGAAAAAGGATGTCCTTCTAGAAGACCAGGATCCAGTTTGGCTTGAGCTTCGCCATGCACATATAGCAGATGTATGTTCATGCATTTATATTCTACTTTCACTTGGATGCCTTGTTTTTGTGAACCTCTTTCCTGATGGCTGTCATATCAGGCTAGTGAACGTTTGCATGACAAGATGACCAACTTTGTGTCCAAGAACAAAGCTGCACAAATGCAACAGAGCGCGAGGTAAGGACTAATGTGACATTTAATAGTTGTTTGCCATTTGATACGGAGTTTTATAACTTTAGAAGGTTTCTAACTTACCATTTATGATCTAAAGAAAGTTGTAGATTCTGTAATTCTGCACAAATTGAGTGTAACCTGCAATTGATACCATTCTCACAGTGAAAGACTTTTACCATAATTATGGAAAGGTCCTGCGATATTCAATGTTATCAAATTTAGTTTCTGATGACAGATAACAATGCAAGGAGTTTTATGAGAAGTTGTGTAGGTGGTAAAACTCTTTGGTTTGTTGTGATTGCAGGATAAACAGCCCCTAAAAAAACATTATAACAAGGCTGAATTTTCATCTGATTACTATTTGAACTGGTCTGGTTATGTAAATTTCCCAAGGTGTAATTACGCCCCTAAAAGTTATAAACCCCTTCTACCCACCAACCTTTGAAAACAAGATAGGGTGCCAAGATGACGCCACACATTTGCTTTTATGTAAAATGCTTGGGATTCAAGAAATTCTTCAAGTTGACACTTTATTTTTTAAGAGTGACATTGAAAGAGTTGAATATTTTTGTTGGAAAAATTTCAAGAAGGCCACCGTACAAGTCTTCTCCCTTTATTCTTGTGGTTAAACTTTGCCCCTGAAACTTCAGAACATATACAGCTAGGAGATTGGCTTACAGAGTATAGAAGTTGATTTATTTTCTTGCTCAAAATTGTTTATTCTTCTAAACATGACACCATTCTCATATTAATGATCCCTGAAATGCTACATTGTTCTATGTACTAGGAACAGATCATGAAAAGTTTTGAGACACCATTGTGAGCAAGGGTTATAGGCTAACGATGTCATCTGACACATGTATATGATTGAAACTTGATAATCTCTCTGCTCCATTAGATATATACCATCTATTTTCATTATTGAAGATAAACACGTGCTTGCTTTTACTTTGAAGCTTTGAGTCTAAATTGTGGATTTATCTCCATTGCCATTTATTTGTAGTGGCGAACTTTGTTTTTATGCAGAGATGGTAGTGAAATATCGACACGAGATTTGCAGAAAATTGTCCAAGCTTTGCCAAAATACAATGAACAAGTTGAGAGACTAACACTTCACATTGAGGTTTGCTTCTTCGTTAATTCTCTCTCTCTCTCTCTGTTTTGTTTTTGTTTTTTTTCGCTTTTGTTTTTTTTTTTTTCTGGATAAGCCAAGGAAAATTCATTGAGCACCTTGCAATGGTTGATATTTATCCACTTAAATGCAATAATGGATTTTTTCATGCCCTGGGGGACCTTCGAGTATTTGAGCACAAGGAGTTACAAATTATGATCACTAGAACCTTTGCAAAAATAAGAGAACAATATTCGATGTCGAAAAATGAAATAGAAAACAGCACTGAAAACTCCCCAAAGTAGTCTGTACGAACTAGATTGGGAATACAACTATAGGTGTTGCTTGTTTCTCGTAATCATGAACCTAAATTCTAGGATTTGTGACGAACTAGAACATTATGTTTCATCTGGACAAAAAAAAAAAAATAAAGAACTGTTTGTTTCCCGTGAAAAGAGCAAACGAAGTCGAGAAACGTTTTGAGAGCTTGAGAAGGATACAATGAATGGTTCGAATTATTGTCCTATTATATATGCTTCCTTCTGGTTTTGTTTAATTAATTACTTTAAAGTATAGATTGCTGGAAAAATTAACGGAGTTATCAGAGAATTGGGACTTCGAGATCTTGGGCAACTGGAGCAGGATCTTGTTTTTGGGGATGCAGGTGCTAAGGATGTTATCAACTTTCTAAGGACGAAGCAGGTGAAGCATGTATTTTGGGTCAGATTTTTGTAGCGAACAGTCTACGCCGTATGACTTGAATTTCTTACACTTCTCTCATGCAGGATACATCTCCTGAAAATAAGTTGCGTTTGCTGATGATCTATGCATGCGTGTATCCTGAGAAATTTGAGGGTGACAAAGCTTCAAAGTTAATGCAGGTAGCTGCTGAACTCTCATTAATGGAAGCAGGGTGTTATTTGTGGAAAGAGTTTAGCTAACGAAAAGCTTTACTAGAAAGTGACACGAATAGATACAATGGCATGATTTGTAATACATGCAACTCTATGACCTATTACATGAGTCTATTCGTCCGATTTTCATTTGATTTTGTCTTTGACGTCTGGCATAACTCTTGTGGAAATGATGAGCATGATAAAAGCTGGTGGTAAAATTTCCAGATTCATAGGGTGCCAAGAAAAAAGTACGGAATAAATTATTAAAAAAAAATAACAGTACAAAAAGAAACGTAAAATATTTAATCCTGTTAGCTATAATTATTGATTACGATCTATGCCTGAACTCAAATGTAAGAAAGGTTGATGTTTTCCCTCTGGAATTTGCGGAAGCTCTTCTCTGTTCATTCTTATGATCGGTCTAAAATGAGAAATGGATGGGAATTTTAATGTTGTGACAGGAATTTTTTATGTTGTGCCAGTTAAACAATCTTCTTTTAATTCTTTTCTATCATTCAGCTGGCTAGGTTATCAAGTGAGGATTTGAAGGTTGTTAATAATATGAAATTGCTTCGGGGTTCATCTGAGTCCAAAAAGACAACAGGTGGTTTCTCTCTCAAATTCGATAACCAGAAGGTACATAAGTACGCTCGGTTGAGATGCTTACTATAGTTCAGTGGTATGTTGCCAACGTAATTTCTAATGGATGAGAAATGTTCCTTTTGGTTCTCAGACAAAGCAAGCAGCTAGAAAGGAGCGAACTGATGAGGAAGAAACGTGGCAACTTTTTCGATTTTATCCCGTGCTAGAGGTATGAGTTAAATCACGTAACAGTGTCCATATATGTGTGCCTTATTATAATGATTGTGATGGTACTCTGAGCAAGGGTCAAAAGGGTTGGATTGGATGTTGTAGAATTAGTTTTATTTTTATTTTTTCCAACCGTGAGGCATCATTGCCCGCTTGTTTAAAATAGGCCCTAAACAAATCATGATTTTTTCTTTTTTCTTTTTTCTTTTTTCCCATTAATCTATGTATCGAGTAGTTTCAAGAATGAATATTGGCAGTTTCTTTATATAGCAACATAATTGATCTGCCAATACTATTTGTGATACTCCTTATGTATCATCTGGCAACTTCACCAACTGAGAATGCCCACTATCCATGTTCTTTAGTAGACATCAGGACAATGCTTAATTCACTGTCTGGTTGGTGTCTTCTAGATGGTTATGTTTTTTAAGCTGAGTAGCTTTGTTGCTTGTGTTATAAAATGAATTCTGTTGTTATGAAACAGAAAGGGAAAAAAATGCTTGTGTTATTATGTATATGATTAAAAATTGTATGCATACTTTTTCATGATTTCTTTCACAGGAGCTCCTTGAAAATCTCAGCAAACGTGAATTGCCAAAGAATGAGTATTCGTGTATGAATGATCCAAGTTCAACTGTCCAAGAAAGCACAAGGAGAGGATCAGTACGGAAAAGTCATGCTTCAGCTGCTCCAGCTGCTCCAGAGAGAAAAGCTCCTGCACAATCAATGAGATCAAGACGAACTGCAACTTGGGCACGAACTAGTAATTCTGATGACGGATATTCAAGGTACTATGGCAGCCTTTACAATTTAAATTTCATTTGTTTGGTTCACATCTCACTGACTTCGATTTCCGTGACGATGTTTTTTCATCTGCTAGCATTCAACACAGAATATCATCTGTAACATATAACTGTTATCTTTATGGGTGTGTAATAGATGACTCTTGATGGTAGCTTAGATGTCTTCTGCATCTGTGGATGTCAATTTTTGTTCAAGCTCCATTATGCCTGAATTTTTCTCAGCACTCTTTCCTTGTCTTTTGCAGTGATTCAGTCTTGAAGACAGCAACGAAAGAGTTCAAGAGAATGGGACAGCGTATTTTTGTATTCATCGTTGGTGGTGCAACACGTTCAGAGGTAAAATTTGTTGGGCAGTTCTAAGTTTGAAGTTGATAATTGGATCTCACCTGATTGTTTCAAATTTATCCCGGCCCTGGGGATGTTTGGCATCTTTACTAATGCCTTTTTGACCATAATTGTTGTCAGCTACGAGCATGTCACAAGCTCACAGCAAAACTGGGGAGAGAAGTTGTTCTAGGTTGTTCTAGTTTGGATGATCCTCCACAATATATCACGGTATAGCGTGCTTATTTATCGTTTTTATTTCCAAATAATTATTGGCAATATGTTTGGATGCTCTAGGTTCAGAATTTAGACCATGCCTCTCCTACCCCTATTATCTCATACGTCCCTATCCAATTTTAATTCTTGGTTTCTATTCCATTCCTTTATTTCACTTTAATTTTATAGCATGCTGGACAGTGAGAATAATGGTGAAATCATATTAAGTTTCAAGTATTTTTCCAGCTGCTCATTGATTTTCTGAACATGGCAGAAACTGAAGCTGCTGTCAGAAACAGAAATCTCAAAGGATGTTCATAGATTCTAAATTATGGTCTTGAAGAGCATGTGGAACATTCGTGTTTTCTCGATGCAGAAAGGTTGGCTGTCTTGTTTGTGATTGAGAGTAAGCAACAGTTTCTTTTCTTTTTCCACTACTTAGACATGTGCAATTTGATCTTATGTAGGTCAGAAGTAGGAGGACTGAACAAGGCTTGTTGTATTTCTCAAGACTCGTGACCAGGCGAAATAGCAATCACCTACGCACTGCCGCAATGCAACCTGAACACTGTTTATTACAGTAGATAGAAGTGGTGATTGTAAATTTTTTTTCACTTTCTATAAAATTACTAAGTCCTGATAAAAAATATTTATGTTCCCAAAATTTTAGGGGATCTGAGATGTCCCTGGGAATTGAATTAGACAATTGTGTAATACAGATCATAAGCTTATAACCATTATCTTGTGGTAAATCATCCATGTCCTCTTTTCATTTAGCTTCTGTTTTTTCTTAACATTGCATTGTTCAAAACGTGCAAGACTTAAAATGAGCTAGGATCAGTATGATTTTAGAAAAATTATTAGGTACATTTGGTGTAGTGATCATTTACATAGAAGTTAAACTCACTACGATAACTACATCGAAAGTATCTAATGATCTTCCATGATTTATAACATAGACGTTCATGTTATGATTAGTTGCTGATTGGATACCAAAGGAGCTATCTCACTGCGTTCCAATTTCTATTGATTGATTGACGAAAATGCATGTGCATGCTATCTTACTCCTTATTAATTAGTTATACTCTACGGACAAAGGATAGGGTAAATTCAGAAAACAGAAATCTAAGAATCAAACATTTTTGTTATCCAAAAATATAATATCCTTCCATTGTCATTTCCCTGATAAGGTTATTAAATTGGTTTAGTTCGTTTACTATTGGCTTGACTTTTGTCCATCTCTTTCCATGGGAGACTAGTCTCACCTTGTCTCGTTTTGCCAATGCCGAATCTCATTTGCTCACCTCCGGTTGCCTGGGTGGGTACTCCATTTGGGTCTTCTAAACTGGCTTCCTTTTATTGGGGCGGGTCTTACTTATTTTCAGGCTCGTTCTTGTTCCAGGGGAGGTGATATTGGCATTCACCCCCAAGGCCCCAATCCCTCCCGCTATCTTTCTTTCGTTATGAAATGGTAAAATAATCCAGCATTAACTATTCTCTTTTATTAGTGCTGACACATAAAACAAATAAATTATAAATTAGTCCCTTTAGTTTTTCAAAATGATTAAGTAGTCCATATATTTTCAAAATTAATTATTTCTTATATATTTAAATCTATTTATAACTTAATCGTTTTTCATTTATTTTTTGTTTTAGATTTTTTTGATTCTTTTATTGTATGTATTAATTTTGTATTTTTATTAGCTGTCAGCTAGCTTTTTTCTAATTAATATAATCTCACTTTTCATAAAAAAAATTATTTTTTTTTCTATTTATTTTGATTCTTTTACTTTAAGAACTAAAAAAAAATATAAGTAAAAAATATGATTGATGGGAAATGAATAAATTGTTAATTTTAATAACACTTTGTTTAAAAAATTTTATTCTTTTTTAATTTAATAATACTTCTTGATCATATAAATAAGATGCCAAATAATGTATAATATTGAGAGAAATTTTATGATATTCAAAGAGTAATTCATAATTATTTATTCTACCAAAATAAATTGGAAAAAAAGAAAAAATTAAGTTATAAAGAGATTTAAAAATATAAAGATTAATTAATTAGTTTTTTGAAATTATATGGATTATTTAATTTATTTTGAAAAACTAAAGAGATTAATTTATAATTTACTCATTTCATATGGCAGCACTGAGAAGAAGAAAAGAGAGAGTGACAAAATAGAATATTTAAATCAAGGTAATTTTGTCATTTTATAAATGGGAAAAGAGAGTCAAAAGGGGTTAAGGGTATGACTATCGTATGGGGAAATGCCCACATCGCCAACCGTAGCGTAAGTCTAGATGTATTTCCTTAGTTTTCTTGGTCTGGAGCGTACTTGGACTCCGTACCTTGTACAGCCCACTTTAGAGGATTTTCCACGATAAGAAATCGAACTGGTTTTCGACTATTTCCTACTTCATTTTCTGTTAATTTCTACACTGGAGAAAGAGCGAGCGAGGAGTGAAAGACGCAACAAGGCGACACGTAGGGAACCCCGCCCTTATTCATCATCACTACCACGCATCATTATCCCAAAATCAAAACCCTAAGACACTAAAACATTTCAGAAAAAAATGGATCAGGTACTCCCCATTGCACTTATCTCAGTCCTTCTTGGTACTGCAATCGCTCTTATCTTCTTCAAAAACTACTTTCTCAAAAGAAAATCCGAAATTGGATCCATCGCCAAGCCCGAGCTCCATTCGGATCATCTTAAAAAACCTACAAAACCTACTCATCAATCCAAAAAGTCTCACTCCAAACCTCACTCTCATGCCTCCTCCGATAAGGTAAAGAAAATGATGAATATGAATTTGATTTCATTTTAGTTTTTTCTTTCTTTTTTGTGAATTTAATTGTTTTGATTGCGAAAGGTGCAGGATCATAACAGGAAACATCATCCGTTGGATTTGAATACTTTGAAAGGTCATAGTGATTCTGTTACCGGGCTGTGCTTCTCTTATGATGGACGCAGTTTGGCTACCTGTAAGTAAACGAGCAATTTACTTTTTTTTTGTTTTTTGTTATTGTAAGTTTAATTGTTAGATATTTATGAATGACCAATTTTAGTAATTTTTACTGAGTCGGTTAATAATGTTTTTCTATTTATTATTTTGTGAAAAAAAAAAACAGCTTGTGCAGATGGAGTCGTGAGGGTGTTTAAGTTAGATGATGCTTCGAGTAAAAGTTTCAAGTACGAACCCGAAGTTTTCTTTTCAAGACTTTGTAACCGGTCTTTAAATTGGTGATGCTAGTTTTTATTGTTTTAGTGATGATAACTAATTTGTAGGTTTTTGAGAATTAACGTGCCAGCTGGAGGTCACCCAGTTGCAGTGGCATTTTCTGATGATGCTTCATCTGTCGTGGTGGCATCACAAACGCTGTCTGGTTCATCTTTATATATGTGGGGAGAGGATAAGGTCAAAGCTAATAATGACTCTAAGCCTCAATCGAAGCTTCCTTTGCCGGAAATCAAATGGGAACACCACAAAATTCATGAGAACAGGGCAGTTTTGACCCTGGTTGGGACTGCTTCAACTTATGGCAGTGGCGATGGAAGTACAATTGTGGCCTCTTGTTCAGAAGGTATGTGCTGATCTTTTTCCTGGGTTAAATATCATATCCTACGTGTTTTAACAATATTTAAATGGCCATGGATGAGTTGATATACTGTTCTGGCTTGCTATTGGAATGGTGTGAATACTAGGATCCATATGTTTTGCTAACCTTGTTAGACTAGGAAAGGATGCATAAAATTTGGACAAGGTTTGCAAACTAAGTGATTATAGAATACGTATGGTTTTGAAGCTTGTCTCAGAAACAGAATTTTTGGCATGTGAGCATTGATAGTTGGATAAGATTTAATTTTCAGCAAAAAACACACGATGATCAGATATTTGACTTTAGTGGTTTCTGATGTTGTTTTGGATTTTGTTATGTCTGGAACAGATTTCATTCTTTCTCTGCACAACATTGAAAAAGGTTTCTTTCATCTATTCATTTAACCTAAGTTGTCCGTTGCTTGCATCTCACATGGTTTCAGAAATGACACTCCATGATTTTATCATGAATATAATCCAATATTTCCAAACTGTGGATTTCTGTCTGATTAGCTGCCTTAAAAGAACATTAATTAAGGACCAGAATGCTGGCATCAGGCAATAACAACTCCAATGAACCTAAAAAAAGTATGATGGCCCAGCAGAAATTACTTATTTTCGAGATCCTGTTATAAGATTTTTTTCCCAATTACATTGGAGCCACTGGATGTCATCATTAATCTTAAAGAGTAGCCCATTGAATTTGCAATTTTAAATTATCAAACAGAGATTAATTGTAGCAGAAAAATTCAACCTCTTTGATTTATACCTGGGTTTCAGAAAGCAATGCTGATTATGTATTTTTTTTATGCTACTTTCCAGGTACTGATATCAAAATCTGGCATGGAAAAACAGGAAAGATCCTGGGGACTGTCGATACAAATCAATTGAAAAACACCATGGCTACTATATCTCCTAATGGACGTTTCGTTGCTGCTGCAGCTTTTACTGCAGATGTGAAGGTCTTTATCTCTATTTACTGATAAAAGCATATTCATGGGACCGTGTAAGAGATATCCCTGGTCTGTATTAAGCAACAAGAAATGTACTCACAACGCACCGTATGATGTGATAACTGATAGAATTGATGGCATTGAAGATTCTTAGGCATAGAATCTAACATTTCTTGTGACACTCGTAGCACTTTCCAAAAATGATTTAGTTAACTCATTTCTGCGTAAATTTTCACAGAAATATTTATGTAGTATGCAATATGTATAGATATGAGCCTGTTATGCTAAACCTAACTCATCAGTTAGTTGAGGTATTATGGATATTATTCATTTTTATTGCTGTAAAGTTTTGTTTGATGACCTTAAGAACCTTATTAGTTTAGGCTTGTTTGCAAGTTTGCTTATGGGTCAATATACCAGGCCATGTTGAGAGATTATCATCCCTCTAATGAATTGCAACAACATTATTATTAGTGACGGCATATGGATGAAGTCTATCATCTTCATTTGCAACTGCTATACAAAAATTATTTTGAGAGGCCTGGAACATAATAGCGTATTTTGAGAGGTCTGGAATGGAATAGCGAGCTTTAAATTTAATATTCTGGTACTATTTGAATATTGAATTGCTATGTTGATTTAAAATTTCTTTGGCAGGTATGGGAGATTGTATATTCAAAGGATGGGTCTGTCAAGGAGGTTCCAAAAGTCATGCAACTTAAAGGGCACAAAGTATGCAATCTATAAAATATTAAACACTATAATTCGTCCATATCTCATTAAAGCCTTACTGTTCTTGTCTATCTTTTTTTCTTGTGCTCCACTTTCCCTCATTCTTTATTTTGTTTCTGAACTTCGTGGATTTGTGTCTGTTACATTTCTATTTGGCATAAAAAAGAAGAAGCTATGCAGGATAATTTAAAGTCAAATCAATGATTGGACCTATTTGAATAATGTTGAATTTTTTGAAGTGGGATTTGAATTGGTAAGTAGTAAAAAAATATTAGCAACAATTACTAAATTATTGCCTGATATGATGCCATAAAAAGTTATCATAGTAGATTTATTCAATCCGTCTGCAGTTTTTAAACTGAATTCTCCCTAAACTGAATGATCTCTCTTTTATCATAATCTTAGCCTTATTATTTGAACTATATTGTACTTCTGGAGTGGTCGTTTTCATGTTTCTCACTTCAAATATGCTTTTATATGGCTTGGATATGCCTATTGGCTATTGTTTCTCATCTAAGTTAAATTTGATTTTCAGAGTGCAGTAACATGGTTATGCTTCACTCCGGACTCGGAGAAAATCATCACAGCCTCCAAAGATGGTTCAATAAGAGTTTGGAACATCAATGGTATGTCCTGCATTAAATCTTTCTCTATGTGCTTGAAGTAGGACTGCCTCAAAAAGTTGAAAAACTAGGGTTGCGCAATGATTAGTATAGGTGGGTTAGGGATTCTCAATTTTTGGATTTTATGTCAAGAATTGAGACAAATTAAGGCATGATTTCTAGTGAATAATTGAAAACCAAAGAGCCTTCTGAACTAGCATTTCATGCTGTGCAACCGTTATCTTTTGATGTAATGTCAGTTTTATCTAAAATAAACCCCAATTAGTACTACAGTGTGCAGAATCTATGGAATGATTAATCCTTGAAAACCGTTTCAGTTTTGTCAATAACAAGAATTGCTTCCTGCTTCAATATTTTTTCCAAGTTCTTGTAAAGTATCTAAGCTAATATTTACATCTAAGCTTCCTGTCTCACCCCCTCTCCCTTGCTTATATATTTGCAGACAAGCATTCAACATGTAGATTGATTTTTCATTGTCTAACAGTTTAAGCTGGCAACCACAATGACTAGAATGGTGGTTGTTGGGTTGTTTTCCATGTGGATCAAGAGAAATTCACCTCTGTGTTGAATATCATGCCTTTTAAGCATGCTCCTTTCTTCAGGGTTTGCAAGAATATGAAGATTGATTCATTGGCGATCTAGTAGATGCTTTGCATTTCAATCTATGGATCATATGTGCTTTTCATGCTCTAGTTGTATATTTGTTCTTCTTGCTGGCAATACACCGAAAGGTTCTGTAGTATTCTTGAATATATTAAGGTTCAGGAGCATATTGCAACTTTTTAAGAAGTAAACTTTGTTGTGTCATGGACTATGTTTGTCTGTGGCTATCTTCTCCTCACCCCCTTCCTCCCTACTGCTGTGCATGCATGAAAAGAAAGAGAAAATGTGACTGGTATCATGCTATGAGAACGTAAAGCATGTATTAGGAGAAAAAGGCAAGATGCCATAGGAAAGACTTGGATACTGGTAACATACTTTGCTTTTGAGTTCCGGAATAGATTTATGGCTTTCTAATTTTCTTCACTTTGAAGGAATGCTATCATTTTGCAATGTTTGTGTGTGACTTCTTTGTGTTGGTAATTATTTGATTAAGATCATCCTGACTTCTTTTTATTGATTTTCTTCAAGTTCGTTATCATCTTGATGAGGACCCAAAGACTTTAAAGGTGTTTTCAATTCCACTTCATGCTTCAAACGGTGCAACTTTGCATTATGATCGTCTCAGTTTATCCCCTGATGGAAGGATATTGGCTGCAACCCATGGTTCGATGTTGCAGTGGTTATGTATTGAAACTGGACAGATATTGGACACTGCTGACAAAGCCCATGATGGTATGGTTTTGGTTCCACTTCTGTGACTTTATTATATTATGTTCCTCTGCAGAGTTGTTGAAAATGAAGATCATATTGGTTTCCTAAATGTAACTATTTTCTTAGCATGAGTATTTGGCAATGGATACTGTGATCGAAATCTTGATGCAATGGCAGATTTGTCCCCAGTGCCCAAAAATTTTTATTTCATTTGGAAATCTGAGTTTATATTCTTAACAAAATCTGTTTTGAGAAATTGGACAAGTTAATTCATTTGAGTTTTAATTGTTATTAACGTTGTTGTTTGTCCTCAACATGTAGTTAGCAGTTCCATATTAATTCTTGATCATGAAAGCAATTTTAATATTATGTATTGATTTCCTACTGATGTTCCACCACTTTCTCGAAACTGCTGCTTACTTTTTCGAGTCAGACTTGTCATACATGTTTTGTAGTAATTAAGCATCGGGTGATCTCTTGGTGAATGTTATACTGATGCTAGTTTATCATGCAGGTGACATCACATGGATCGCATGGGCGCCTAAGCCTATTCCAATAGGTGCTTATTAAACAAAACTGGGTTAACATTTGTGGCTGTTCTGTTCATTTTTCATTACCTTATGCTATGAGTTTTTTTGTTTTTTTGTTTTTTTGTTTTTTTTTTTTTTTTTTTCCGGTGGAATCAGAAAGATTTGAGTTTGGAGTTAGTTCCAATGATTCATTGATCAACATGGTTTTTTCCGTGCATTTCTTGGTTGTAATTGCATGATCGATAACCACTCTTGTTGTTCTCCAGGGGATGGACAGGCCTTCATTTTGGCTACAGCCAGTGTTGACAAGAAAGTGAAGTTATGGGCAGCTCCGCCACTCCGATCAGCATAAAGGATTCATTTACTCTACTGATAGATGTGAATCATATACAAGTTCTTGACCTGACATCCTTGTTGATTACCCATACCTTCATGAGTTGCAATAAAATTTGCTCAGGTTCAGTAGCTTAATCACTTCGCAGAGAGTTGAATAGAACAAACCTTCCAGCTGAGTGGTTGGACGTGGCATGCAGGACAAGTTTGATATTTTAAATTGAGAAAAACTAATCTTTGTATGGCTTAGCTAGCCTGACCTGACTGAAAAGTTTTGGTGATGAAAATGTTCCCTAAAGTAATAGATGATGGTTTTTGTTTTGGTTTTGATCAAAATGTACCGTAAAGAAATAGATGAATGTATGATTCATGTGGCACTTCATCAATCAATAGTATTTTTGCTGGAAAAGAACTGGGGAACAAAATGTAGCTACATTGTAGCTTGGCCAAGTTCTCGCTCTTTAAACTTGTGGACTGTCTCTGTTTGGGAAGAAAAATACAAAAAAGAACGCCCACCGTGGGGCTCGAACCCACGACCACAAGGTTAAGAGCCTTGCGCTCTACCGACTGAGCTAGACGGGCTTGTTAGCGTTTGTTGAGCTCCAACTTATAAATATAAAACACACGCTAATCTATAATGTTACGACAGATAATCCTTCTTTTGAGTGCCGAGTTTTGGATAATTGGATCTCATTACTCCTGACAACACTCGCCTCGAGGATAATTTAAAATAAAGGTTTCTCCATCTTTGAAGTATGCTAAGGGAGTTTACCACTCCGTACTTACCGTTGTGAAAAACTGAAAAACAAAAAGGAAAGTTTTTATAAATGAATTCATATTGTGGTGAGTCATGGTAGTCACAGTTTAATGCAAAAACTTTTCCTTAAAAATGATTTGAAAATGTTTTAATTGTTATAAAGAATTCATCATTCATGAATTTCTCTTACCGAGGGCACTGATATTTCTTAGCAAACACAGAAGATAACATTCAGTACACTGTTTCTATGGTTAGAAAGTAGGAAACCCAAAAAAATATAATAATATTTTTTTTATTTTCTTTTCCCCCGGATCTCTTTGCATTGGGGAAGAATTTAATTATTTTGGCAGAAATTTTTCAGTGATGGCCAAAATCTAGATAATAAAAGCTGTGGCTCGCTAATTTATTTAAATTATGGAGTAAAATCCTAAGCCTAGCTGGACCACTATTCACAAACCATCACAGCTACTATTAAATAACAAATAATAATACAACAAAAACACTGGATCACAATACTACGTACTATGGATATATCATAGCTATTCGGATTTGAAATCCTGGGTAAGCATGTAATTATAGCTGCCCTCACGACGTTGGCCATTGCTCTTCAGTGTCTCCTCCATCTAGTACTAAGTATGGAAAAATAGTTTGTTAGTTAGCCTTAGCAATCTGCTAGAAATTCAACCTACCTATATCGATGGACAAGGAAATAAAATATTTCATTTTGATCGTACTGGATTTGTGATGCCGATAGCCCTGCCAATATTTTAACCATCCATCAGTGCAATTAAAAACCGCAAGACACATTTATGTGTGGATTACATCTTGAAAAATTATTACACAAACCAGATTCATACCAACCAAAACTTTATAATTGATTGGTCCATATAATAATTTGCTATTAGACAAGTCAAATAATTTATTTCTTAGTAGTTGTCAATACACAGGGGGAGGCCTCACTCACCTTGTCAGTTCCATAAAGGTATGTGAAAACTGAAGCAAAATTTCTCTGGCAGTGGCGACCCACATAATGATGATAATCATGGTACTCTGCACCTCCATAGAATGCAATAAATTTTGTGGGATTCCATGAAAAATCATATCTGCATTGCATGATGTCACATGACATTTTATGTAAGAGCCTTAGATAGCTGGTCTACAAAAACGAAAAATTTTATAATAATAAAAAAATAACAAGTAGTTACAAAAAATCAAATTATACAGACAACATCTTTGGCTGCTTTTTTTTTTTTTTTCTCCCTATATGAAACCAACACAAATGTACTTGATTTAATTATTCATGTCAAATCTCATATATACCTCCGTGAGGTATCCCAAAAAACTATGGTCTAGGGGAAATTTTTTCGACAGAACTTTGAAACTTGAGAGTAGGTTTGCACTTTACTCTTTATAAAATAATAATTAAAAAAAAATACAGATCTAGTTTATAACTAGTTTTATGACACGCCGATTGCCATAAGTAATTTTATAAAACTTGTTTTGATATTTTAATTAATTATGAAATTTTAAATATATTAAATTAAAATCAATTGAATATGTATTTCGTAGCATTCAGTATCATGCGTGCATTTTATCTTTGAATTTAAATAAATCAAGACAGAAAAATAAATAAAATGATTCATTGAATAATGAATATTAAATTATGACAATATGGAAAATTATAATTAACTTATATGATTTCCAAATCGCCAATTTTAAAATGCAATTATACACTTTCTACTTTTTGCAAATGTTTTCTTATATTCCAAATGATTTATGATCACAAAATATTATCAAAATTGTATAAATTAAATTAAAAAAAGTTACTTATCTTTTTTATCGATTTTTTTGTCAGCTAATATATATTCTAGATTGTGTACGTAACCCAATCATTAATTTTTCATTATCCACGCAACATGTAATGTTGAATCATTTTTATTATTTATTTTAATATATCTAATATTTGATGAATATAATAAAATTTTAAGTCGTCCATATCGTATCTAAAAACTAGTGATAACAAAATTTTATGTCATCAATAATTAAATTTAATCCAGAATTGGTACATTCACCTCTTTTTGAATATCTATTCTATAAAGGCCCAAACAAATCAAATTAAAAAAAGCAAAAGAAAAAGAAACTAGTTTGATTCATGCACTCAATGCAAGATTGCCAACAATTTAAAAGATATTATAAAAAACCAAAACTTTATGCTATATATATATATATATATATCGGGAAAAACATTAAATATTTTGCGAAAAAAAAAAAAAAGGAAACAGTTTGGATGGGCTAGGCTGGTGCGTGGTTGGGCCTGGGAACTCAGGGCAGCTTGCTGGGCCAGTCTGTTAAAAAAAAAAAAAAAACAACACTTCCGAACGACCAAACGGTGGCTGAAAATCTCGAGTCATTGGTTTTGCCTCGAAAAATCCAATTTTTTCGCCATTTTTTTTTTTACCTAAATTGTCTTAAAATCATTTCAGAAACTCCATAATACCTATTTACAAGCTTAAAATTCCATTTTAATCAATTAAAATATCTAAAAAGACCAAATCAAATTTCAAAACCTAGCTATATTTTCGAACTCGAATTCCTCCTGCATAGTATTTCAATGGAAATAACCCCCATCAATGAACTTCTCTTTTCAAAGAAAACTCACAGACAAATATCAAAGATTTTGGTGACCAGAAAAAGGATGGATGGAGTTCTCATATCCTCTCTCTCTCTCTACATTCAAGGACTGAAACATGACGGAAATAAAGTTTGGCTGTCGAGCTGCAACTATTGAAAAATATAAGAACCTAACAGCAAAGCTGGTCAATAACCATCCTTTTTTCGACCCACAAAGGTAGCCAAAATTATAAAAATACCATTATGAACGCTACTGATGAATCTCAACGAATATCGAAATGAAAAAGGGTGAATAGTTTATAAATAATTAATGCCATAAACAATAAAAGGCCCATCTTTTTTAATTTATTAGTAATAATAATAGTCGATTCCTAGCAACGGCCGGTATTTTAAAAAAAAACATAATAGCTATATATTAGCTCGGGCATACTCTTATGTCATTAAAAAAAATTACAAAAAAAAAAAAAAAAAAAAGAGTTAGAACGAACGTAAGAGTTTAGCATTTGTACCCGCTGTGAGTCTCGATAGCTTCCATATTTCTCAAAACGAACCATAGCCAATAGTAATAATGTGTCCAGGAACAAAAGCAGGACCAAGAAATGCAGGTATGCCAAGTATCAAAAGTTCAGCCCAGTGTGCATAAGGTGCTGCAAATCCCATTGGAGAGCACTATATTCATGATGAACATGGTGGATTTTCTCATAGCCCCAGTTGGAACGAAGCAACCTATGAACCCAATAATTGGCATAGTCCTCTACTAGAAAATACACTAGTGATCGCCAGAACATTTCCTTTCCTGAAGGTAACGACAGACTAGTTCGGATGCCAATCAGCTGAAACAAAATTAGAGAAGCTAGCTTTGTTAATCTTAAAACTTCTTTCAAGTTTTCAATAAAATTGCATTATAATTATCATTCGTATATATATATATATATACCTACCTTATTGAAAGGGTAAGAAGAGACTTGAAGAGGACCAACAACAAAGATAAATGTTTGCATAACATCGTTGTAGCATTTCAACATGTCTTGGAATGAGTTCTTGATTTTGGATTGAATTTTGTATTTGTCTATTTTCTTGGACTGGGTTAGCTCAACGATCATGTATGGTAGAGTAACTATAGAGTAAAAGAAGATCAAGAAGAGAATGTTATGATAATGAAGAAGGTAATCAGGTTTGTTGGCTGAGCAGTTGAACCACAGTTTTTCTGCAAAAGTTAGCTCTCTGCCGACAGCTGCCTCTGCTTGGTGCATGCTCTGGTAAGGCAGGATTAATTGTTGCTTAGAAGGTCAGAAATATGATCGGTTGGATGACAACAACAGAATAAATAGAGTAGAGGGTGGCAGGAGTTTTATAGAACCATCCAACTCAAAAGTCTAATGGTTGAAGAGGTATAAATAATATTTGTGGTTTTCTATTATTTTATTATTATTATCTTGGAAATGCATGTAATGGTTGCAGAATAATTGTGAGTTTCATCTTAATAAATGTTTGTTGGTCTTGATTTAGATTAAGATAGCAAAAACAAACTCCTAAATTATTAATGAGTTTTAGTTTTAAGTTTTTTTTTTTATTTTGATCATTTTAATTAGTTTTATTTTCTTAATTATATTTTAGCAATATACTATGCTTTCAATCACAAATGGAAATTCATGGGATGTCTGATAAAGGGCAAGCTTTTTCATGCCACGCAAACACTTGGAGGACACACTATCGTATTTCTAACTCATCTTAACAAAATTCTTTGAAAGCTCAAAAACTCAAATATTATTACGAGTACTCATTTTTCTGTATGAGAAATATTAGGTTTAGCACCAATTTATACGAGAAGGGAACAGTCGATCTTGTAATCACTATAATAAGGTTTTAAATTGAAAAATTGTTAAATCTATCATCTCATGGATATAAGATCCAATATTTTCATTAAATCGTGTTTCTCATAAATAATTTTTCTTATTTTCCGTGACAATAAACCTAGTTACAATTCATGCACCTTTTTCGCAAAAATTTCCCTTTTTTTTTCTTTTTGCGGGAAAAGGACATCTCATTTTAATTGAGGAGAAACCAACGTTTCTATTGCGGAATTTGCACAAAGTTAAGCTAAGATGATAATCCGCTACCATTAATTATATTGGCATCATAAGAAAGCACAAACGTCCAGCCACATTAATATTAGGTCCTCGACTTTATCTAATAAGTTTTGACATATTTACCAAAAACCAACACATGACGGCATACTCCTCGACTTTATCGGAACCGTGATTTCTAACCACCCAAATGGTATTGTTGCCACCTCTCCTACTCCTTCAACGGTAGAGCTAGCTAGCATATTAAGTTTCAGGACCAAACTAAACTAACCTATGTTAGTTGTATACCTTATGAAAAATAAAGTACTAGTTTATCACTTTTTTTTTCCACATAAAGTGATTTTAATACACATTAAGTGAGAAAATAGGTAATTATGAATACAAAATTCTTATTTACTCTTTCAGCCTCTTGATTGACAAATATTTTGGAGGTAACAATTTATATTTTTGGGACATAAATGAAAATTTTGAAGAAATATAACGACTAATGTAAAACTTTGGTGGGCCCTGGCTTCTTCCGTTTGACCGCTTCCACATAGCTCCCCACTCCCCACTCCCCACCTCTGCTCCTGCAGTAATTTTCACAAGACGTTGCTCTAGCCTTGGCTATTCTACAGCGGAGGTGTGTGTGTGTGTGTATATATAGGTATAGGGAAATTACTACAATGTTTTGGGAGTAGTTACTGCAGGACATTGGCGGAACTGCGTTTAATGACTCATGGGAACCCACACTTTGAAAAATTTTACATTCTAGTCCTCAATGTTTGGAAATTGATATAATTATACCCTTCATTTTAAGGTTTGTTTCATAGTAAACGTATGTAGTGCACCCAAAAACCATGTATCATCAATATGGTTTTCACTTTGTTGTTCTATTTTTAAATTTATTCTATTTCCATATTATCTCTAAGTTCGTGTTTCTGTTTCTGGGACTAATGATGGTACTTAGCCGCTATCAAGATAACTAAGAGCCTTTAATCATCTAATAAGTTTCAAATATTTGAGACCATTAAAAGCAAAATCATGCATATTTTTGAGCTACTTATCTGATTTTTGAGAAGTAATTAGCTCTAATATTTATATTCGACACTAACTGAAACTATATTATCAGATTGTACTTGCCCCAAGGTTAAGCCCCTGCATTTGTTATTTAGTATGGAATAAAATTTAGTTTATTTGATAAAAAAAAAACTTTGGTTTATTTATTTATTTCGATGTATTGCCTTGCTCCATGTGTGAGTTCAATGACATTCGCCCCATTTCTTTTTCATGGCACAAAATTAATTGAGCTTTGGAAAATATAATTAAAAAGAAAAGAAAAGAAATTATTTGTTCACGATGCAAATTGCAATTGAGTGAGAATGTGTGCTATATACAATGTGCATGAATGACTTTTGCTAGTTCCCGTCAATTACGTTACTGAAAATAAGTCCCCCATCTTTTTATTTTTTTAATTAGATCCTTATTCATTAATTTCTAGCAATTAATTCAGTGTGTATTACTTTAATCATACACATGAATACGCACATGTTAATGTTGTTATAGTTTTCTCATCTATGCACAACGTATTTTGATGCCATGGACAGCTTTTCCTATGAAAAAAGAGCATTTCTTGTTCTTGTGTATTTTGAATTTTCACTGTAAAACGTACTTGAATCATGAAAAATATAGCGTAGATAAATACTTAAGTTCAAGAGGTGTTTGTTAGAACAATGAGAGTTATCTGATTCAATCTTTCAAAATTAAGGGAATAGTATGCATTAAAAATAAAAAATAAAAAGTTCGAGGAGTAACATCTATAATTGTAAAAAAGGGCAAAAAAAGCTACCGGGAGAAAAGAAACCACAAGTCACTAAAGTGCAAATGGTCCAAAGCACAAGAATTTTTATTATTATTTTTCATTTTTCCCTATTGTTTATCAAATAAAAGAAAACAAAGGACCTTAATAGATATGCTAGACCTTTTGAACCTTAAGCTTTACTGACATTCATATAATAATAAAAATGCAAATATTGTCAACAGTAGCATGTAAAATCTTGGTGAAGAAGGTTGTTGTTTGTATTAACTGACTGACTTTACTTGCAAGTTGCAACTACGCTGGTCAGAGCGAAAAACAAACTTAACGCAATGCATCTGGTTGTGCTTCCGGGGACGAAGCTCGGAACTCGGGTACGGTCTTGTATGATTCATATATCCTACTTAAAATAGGGAAGTTGGACTGCATAAACAATCAAACGACTGTTTGTCAAGAGAGAGAAGATAATAGAAAATACAGACATAAAGACTTCCATAAAACCATGTACAGACAACATGAATAACATATGAGCATACTGTTGCCACACTAAGTTTCAATCCGCAAAACCCCATAGAAACATATCATCATAGTCACTGCATCCTGCTGTCACATCTAATTTCTTGCATTTCAAGGCGGTTAGCCAATAAAGCAGATAACTCACAACCTTAATTATTCGAATTTTCATGGCAATGAACTAGGCCAGTCCAGAAAAGAAATGCAAAACATGCTTCACCAACCATGGAGAAGCTTCTCAAATTATATATGGACATCACACACTAAGAACTTTGTGAAAAATCTTATTTTATGGCATGAACCATGTGATGTATGGTGAGAAATCAGACGCGTGGGAATCATAAGCACAAAAATCTAGATTTGTTTAAGTTAACTATGTGAAGGATGTTTTACCATGTCAACATTGAACCTCGTTACAGCCGTAGCAATCTGTGGGGCCAAAAACATATCAGCCTGCAAACAGTAAAAGAAATTATTCTGATCTTTAAGGCGCTTAGGAGTTCACATATTAACATTGAATCTCTCTTATTTCTTGGAAACCTTGACTATATCAGAGCAACACATACTTCCAAAATATATAAGCATCCAATATGAAATCACACTTTGTGCATCGTTAAGAACTCTTGTTAGGTTCAAAGTAAACTATTTCCACATAATGCTATCATGCAAGTTTAGAACCAGAGCAATCAACCACAAGAATCCATAAATGACTAAGTAAGAACCTATAAATCAGATGGGTGAACTAAGGGATGGATATATACAGTCTACATTCACAACACCTCCATATAATAAGGTCTTGTAGAGAGGGTGCATTAACAATCCTCAACCATTGAAACTAGTAGAAGCATTCAACTATAATAAATGAAGTTCTGCACAAGAAACAGTGAACAAAGTATTGAAAAGAGACCATGTACAGTGCTTCTCCGGTGGCAAATCTGGTAGCAAAATCCTTCAGCAACTTCTCTAGTGCTGTACAAAAGAGTAAAACACTTTACATGAGTACTAAGGAGTAAACAATATTTTATAGCTTGATATGAAATCACTAATAAATGATCATGAAAGACAACTCTAAAAAGAAACATTATCCAATCTGTATTCCTCATTGACTCATGCACTATAAAACTATTGCCACTTATACCCTATTGTTTCATCTTTCGTGACGATCTCAACCATCATGGGTATAGCTAATCTTGGTAGATAACTCATAAAAAACAAAGAAAGGAAAAGGAGAGATAGAGAATTATATTTCATCCATAATAAGGGGAACCACATACCAGAAAAACCTTTTTCAATACTAGATTGTGCCCATAAAAATCCCTCTCCTGGACCAACTTTTTCTTCTATGCGTTTCTATAAAAGAATTAAGACACGGCATAGTTGATACATGTGTGAATGAAACTAAAGATAACGCTGGTAAAACAATGGAAATAATACATATACCACTAAAGCCAACATATGAAGAGGTTGTATGCCAGAGCAGATGATACTGGCAACCTGTGACATGTAACACTGATTAGCAAGGTTACACAGAAAAATTAGGGAATAAATACTGGCATGTCCGTGTAATCTGATTCACATTCAGTTCTCGGAATGAAATGAAACCATCTAGCTAGTTAATAGCCACAAAAGAAAAAAATAAAACCAGATTAACTGGTTCTGTTTGCTCCAACTGAAAGGTCCTTTCAATTGAAGATGGTTAAAACCAAGGGTTCATTGAGTTTTCAAAATCTAACAGTAGAAATTGTATAATCAATCCAGTCACAGGTTTTAAGATTCTCAAGACAATGTTTTCTAGACACTTCGCATCTGAAAAAAAAAAAAAAAAAAAAAAGGCATTTACCTGGAGATGCAGAGCTTTTAGCCGAGGATCATCTGGCAGCAGCGCCTTTTGAGGGTACTTTTCTTCCAAATACTACCCATTTACGATAGAAACCATCACAAAAAAAAACACACTTGGCATAAAAAAGAAATTATATAACAAATCTCTCAAACGTTAAATCTATCATGATTCATGAATAGACACGTCCCATCATTAAATGGATGCCAACAGGCAACAATTTGCCATTATTCACTCTCACTCCAAATCATGGATTTATGTCTGTAGTTACTTGTCCCTATGTCTAGTTTTCATAAAATGCTGTCCCAAAGAGAGTGCTACGGTACGCACAAAAATCATTTCGAAGTAAAGAACACTGACTAGCAAGATTGCTAAGGAGTCTGAGACCACCACATCACCGTCAACCAAGACTGGAACATATTGAAGAGGATTCAGTTGTTCAAACTCTGCAACGGAGATAACATTCATCAATCCTCAATGCTTGGACCTTTTACTAATCTAAAGATTATATTTTAGGTAAGCTAAGAATATGAAATCTTTCAACCTCACCTGTACTAAACTGCTCTCCTTTTGCAAGGTTAACTGCTTTATATTCATAATCAAGCCCTGAACAGTTCCATTTTTTCAAAAAGGATTAACAAAGTCAATCAGCTTAAGTGTAGAGAAGAATACCTTTAAGGTTTAAAGCAAAGCGGACCCGCCATGAACAGGAGCTGTGTGAGAAATTATACAAGACTAGCTTTGGTGATGAGTTCACAGTGTCTCTCTGGCGTGTGAAACAAACTTTTAAGTAGAGGTTTTATTATGAGAAAATTGTAAGCATAAAATAAAGAAAGGTTAATTACCTGGTTCTGGCTGTTGAGCTCTTCCATAAGAAAAAAAAATGATGTCCAAAATGGTGAGAATGTTTGATTGGATTATTCGAAGCGGAGCAACCATTTCTTTGGCAATTCAAGAAAAGTCAGTTTGGATGTCACATCATCATGGGATATGGTGTTAGCTTCACCCACCACTTGATTATGGATAGAAAGGTTATTGTTGTGTTAGATTTAACATTCAAAATTGTGTTTCTGATTTGTTTTCCTTATGACCCTCTGATTTTTTAGAATAGATGGAAAAGTTAACGGTACTAGATTGAGCCAACATGCTTTACTCATGACTCACGTTACCTCTCAAGTCTCATGTTACTCCAACATCATCGTATGGATTAATAATTTTACATGTCAGATAACTAGTATTAGAATATGAGATAAAGATATGCTAATTTTATTAAACATACTATGCAAAACCACTTCATGAACAATCTCTCATTAAATAAGTGAGTTCTACCTATAAATCTTATAAATCCAATAATAGGAGTCTTTTCAAGTAGTGAATTTCATTTAAAAAATAATAATAAAATTAGCATTATTGGAGTATTTTTATTCTTTAACTATTGTCAATTTAAAACTTCCATACCAAATCATCTAGTAACTTTTGTTTTAAAATCAACGACTGGAGCTAGCACAATCTATTCTTACACGAGGCGCATCTTAATCCATTTTAATTGGTTGCTCGGTCCATCCCGACGACGGGTTGTCGAAATTTCGCTCCCATGTTCTTTTGGTAATTGAATGACTTTTCGTTATGTTATGAGCAACCCGTCGTCAGTTTGAGCCCGGGAGATGCAAATATTGACTGTTCCCAAATAATATATACATTTGGAACCCACAAGCTACAATGTTTGGCAACATGAACCGGGCAGCCAAACAGTTGTTAGCAGGGCTAGTCCCTTTGATCCCACAGGTCAATTACACTCACGGAGCCAGGAGATGCTAATCCCCGGACGCCCAAGAAAGGCTACAAAATAAGTTTTAAGGATGACATTCTGGGATTTTCTTAATAGGAAGTAGGAAGTCTATAACTAGCAAAATACATAAACATATGTCGAGTACAGGAATCCTATGCATGGTGCTTTACCATGAACATAACACAATGATTTCATTAATTTCTAAACAAGCCTTCCCATTGCCAATCCAATTTCTAAAATAGAAGTTTTTGAGGAAATTTATACATCAATCCCCTTGTATTTCAAAATTTAGATAACTATACACACGCATACAATTCTAGTCATATACCTTGAATTGGCGAAATAGATAGTGACCACCAGAAATCAAACTTTGCATTAACTCTTGTTTTCACTCAAGTTCCGGCTCTTTTTTAACCAGAAAGCTTCTAGCTTCATCATCTGTAACCTCACTGCTTAGAGTAACAAAATATAGAAACAAGGGATTAATAGCTAAGAAAACCAATTCTGAACAATCAATAGATGAAATTAGAAAGAAAACCTGTCTGTGGCTTCGGACTTCGAAATCAAAGTGAGTCCTTTGGAGATGAGGGATTCACAAAAATTGCTGAGCTTTTTCTCTTGGCAGACATTCAAAAGATGGTGAAGGAAATCATTGAATTGTTTAGGCTCCTGCATGAAAGTTACAGAATCAACCATTTATTGTATGTTTAGGCTGACATTCAAAATGATTAACTTGGTCTAGGACCAGTAAATCATCATTACACAAGGGCAGTTGTCTGTGCAAAGTCAAGTAACGTATAGTTAGATATGAAAATACAATACTTATTCATCCAGCAATTACTCATGGCTGATGCTTTACATAACTATTGAGCAACCGAAAAACCAGTAGTTGACAGCACAGGCTGTCAAAATGATTGGATCAATGATCTTGTTTACCACATGCAAGCTATACAGAAATTTAGACTCCATGACAAACTTTTATCTCTAGAAAGTAAAGCTATATCACAAAACAGGGTTGGATGCTCGGAAGCAGCTTATCAATATCCCCCTAAAATAGTTTCCAAAATCCACTTGATGAGACTATGGGGCAAATACATTTGGAGCCTCCAATGATGCATCACCAAATAAATCTCAATAAGGATGATTGAGAAATTCAATAAGGATGAGTAATTAACACTAATTACAGACATAAATCATAAAGCCATAACTATCCAAATTTGGAAACAAAATCATCCAGAAGAGATAAGAGACCTACTTGCTCAAGGATGCAACCCTTACGAAGGGCAAGCAGGCATTCCAATGCTTTACCATGATTATCCCCTTCATATGAATTCTCAACCAAGTTATGTATTTTGTTTTCCATATCCTTAATTGCTTTACTAACCCAATCTGGACTATCTCTACGTGACATCATGGCTTCAAAATCTTGAACTGGACTTGAATCCCCAATTTTTTCAACCTTAATAGGCCTGACAGCTAGAGCATTGATTGCATTTTCATAACCCTCTCCCTCATCTGAGCCAGAGGGTTTTTCTCGCAATAATCGCTTGCTTGATTTCTTTAGCTGCAATCGAGATCAATTTCATCAAAGCCAACGATTAGTTTGGCAGCATAATGACACCATGCTTGTCACAGAAGTTCTCAGAAATACTCACCCTTGGATTCTCCTTGAGTTCAAAGCTCTTACAAAATGCATCAATCACACTTTTGTTTTCAGAAAGAAGATCCGGATCAGGTTCGGTTATTGTTTTGAGAGTTTCATCAAGTGGAGGCACAGCTGCATCTGGATGCTTTGACTTTAACTCGAGATGACGATAAAAAAGCTGAGAGACACAACATTGCCATCAGTTAGAGTCAGAAAATTACCACCACCTGCACAGGAGAGCAGGGAGGGGCAACCCACAGTAATTCAACATATAGGCATTGGGCATCTTATTTAACAAAGCCATGTAAAAATATCTATAAGCATACAAATGATAAAGGTGCTCATAAAAATGAAAATATAGTACAGAAACACATGAGAAAACCACATGAAAGATCATGTTTCCAATGCCCCATTTTTCATTTTAGCTCTCACATATAAGCACCTCAAGTATTTACTCGATAGATTTAACATCGGCTAAACAGAACTACATCAAGCTGGTGTACAGTAAGCAGCCTAATACCTCCAGAACGGGATTTGGTGTGAAATCAGGCAGTAGAGCTTCCTGTTTGCCAGATGGTGCAAGGTCAAGCATCTTTACAAGGTTATCTGCAGCCTCTTGCTGCTGCTCATTCGGCTGCCATGAAGCTGGAAAACTGCTGAGAGACGGAAATTGAAATTCTCGGACATCCTCAGCAAAAGGAAGTACATTGAAGTAAAACACATCAGGCTGCCCAGTAAACCAGCAAGCAATTTTCACTAGGGTAATTAAACTCAAAAAAATAAACAAAAGCACAGTGTAGAGATAAACAATGTGATGCTGAGGAACCAAAACATGTACTAAAACCCACAGTGCTGTCTTTCTCAGATATGTTGGGTGTCAAAACCCCCACAACAACACTCCCTTGTCCTTGTCTCCAGACACACCGCAAAATTGCAACCTTGTTCATTTCCTTCATTGCTCTAGCTAAAGCAGAAACTGCAAGAGCAGCCCTTGTATTGCCTGGTTCAGGAATAAAGATGTTGACATCTTTCATGTAGTAGTGTCTTTTGATTACATGTATGCCAGGGCAAAAGAAAAATATTAGACAAAGTTTTGTTTTAATCCACATTCTCTAAAACCAAATTACACAAAGCAGCAATCCTCTACCGCATTATGTTTGAAGCATCAGTAAATCCTAGAAGCTTCACGCTCTTTTCTGGTTTGAATTTGACAGCATCCCACTCAGCAGATGATACTGGAACAACTTGTGGTCCATATCTATAACCCTTAATTCTTTGTTCTGGAGGAACAACCTTATTAGGATCTTCCACACTTTTATACTCATAATCTACCTTGACTTCATGAGTAGCAAATCTGTCAGTTGGAGGTGCTTTATCAGAATATTTCTTCAGAGTGGGAAACTTCTCCTCTGAGGTTTTTTTGTAGACCCACACCTACTCATAAATAATATGGACATAATAAACCTCAAAGTCTATATTCTAATAATGCAACTTGCAATAATTGTATACACCAGCTTCTAAGAATTGAACATCAAGAAGAGAAAAAAATGAACTGCCCAAACATAAAGCATGAGAAAGCAAGTAGATAGAAACCGAATCAGATTAGGATTAGAACTGCAGATGACAGGAGTAAGCTAATGCCACATAGCCACTTAAATGGCATGATTTCTTTCATGTGTCATTTAGAGTAAGATTTTGACTTGAAAAGACCATACAGAATTGTAATGCAGCACGAAAGACAGCCACTACCAGTAAGGACAAAACCCTGTGCATCTGCCTTTTTCACTCAACAGAAGAGCTTAGCAGCATCACAGGCCTCAAATGCCATGGATCCCAGGCATAGTGGTATCGAACAACAGGCGTAGCATGTGCCAGTTATTTGTGGCAAAAAAGAAAAAAGAAAAAAAAAGAACAAAAACAATAACAAAACCAGCATCAACCCAGTGTTTATAAGCCAAATTCAAGCCCACAGAGCTTTTGATGATTTTGATCAATGTAGACTCTAGGGAAAGACTCTGCCTCCAACTCATAATTTACTTTACAGAATTCACTTGACCGCTAAATAGGCATCACCCTGATGGGGACAGAAACTACTATGCTAGCCTAATTGGGGTTGATGCCTTTTGGATTGGGTGAATTACCTAATTTATGCTGCTAGAGCCACTGGCAGTCATCCAGCTGCCCCTGCATGCTTCATAACACCATACCAGTTAATGAGCCAGACTCTTCATAGCTGATGTTAGCTATTTCAGATGACAAGTAATTGACTACTACAGTAAAGCTGTGTGCTGCCTCCAACAATCAACACACACCATAAACATGAATCAGAAACCTTGGACCTCTCATATGCCCCCACAGAGCAGAGAGGTTTAGATGACCCAGTTCAGTTGTAGACTCAATTAATGAATTCCCCCAAAAAAAGTTACTGAGAGATGTAATGGCAACATTTAGATCAGCCCAATTTAATGCATCAAATATATTTAAAATGAAGAATAAAAAAATAAAAAAAAACAAAGAGAATATATTATAACATCCAACCACAAATAATGAGATAGGACATGTCTGAAAAATATCTTTAGTGAAAAACCAAAAATTTCACCTTAATCTTCATCTTGGAACTGAGTTCAAGATCACCTCTGAATATTGTTACTGGAGATATATTTCGAGTTCTTAGTGCACCTAACAATGCAGTTTGACTCTCAACATACACTGCCTTAGCAGATGTTTTCTCTGAGAAAAGATTCAGCAGTCGATCATTTTCATCCATTATTCTCTGGTCTTCACCCCCAGTTAATCTTCCCCTCACAATAACACTTTCCATTTTCATTCCATGTGCACTCATTTGAGCAGCAATAGTGTTCACTTGATCTTCCTTGGTCCCTTCATATGGATCTTTAATAGGACACAGTGCATTTGTGATAAGACAGAGACGCTTCTTTCCTTTGTTTGTTGCTTGATACTTTTTTATCAGCATATCCATTCCAACAACAATAGCATCAAGATCTACTTAAGTTAAGTACTATATTATTAAGCATTGATCAGATTAGTGAAGAAAAAAATGTAGCCCAACCCACCCATATTATTGGACTTGACAAAATGAATTGAGGCAGTCCTCTAATACAGATGCATGCACATGTCAGATGCGAATTGCATGCTTGAAAATCCCATTTTAAATATTCAGCAAGAGAATAATATGTAACGAAGCTCACTTCATTCTCTATCTGCAAAGAAATTCCCTTTGCAGAGTTCAGGAATAAAAAAAAAACCCCTTCTATTGAGCTCAAAAAGCATAGAAGTAGCAATGCCAGGAAACAGACGGTGAACACTAATAGCAAAAGTCAACGCACCTACACAGAGCATAAAATTTCAAAACAAGTATTTTAGAAAATATCCATGGATACAATCGCCATCACAGGTTCCTCGAGGGAGCTCTTGAAATGCATCAACAAGATCTCCATCAACAACTTTGATATTTCGTAAAACAACAACATGCTCGTACCCACCCACTTCTTTCGTCAGTTCATTGTCAGTCTCTAAGAATTTTAAGGAGAAAAAAAAAACCAGCATAAGCAATAAACTGAACCCTAAAAATCCGAAATCAAGCAGAAATATAAATTTTCTAAAATCAGCAATCAACAAAGTACACCCAAATTTATACCTCGAGTCCCGAAAACAACAACTCCAACCTCATCAAATTTCCCATAAATCAACTGCAAATAAGAAACGAAGGAAAAATTAGAACAACGCAAGGACCATAACTAACCAAAACTGAAAAATCTAGGGACTTGCAAAAATTTGGAAAAGCTGTGATACCTTTTTCTGTATAAGCATAGAGCAAACTTTTTGAATTTCGGGAAGAACATTGTGCATTGTTGGACCGACATCAAGTAACAGCACCAATCCTTCCTGTTTCCAAAACCAAAAATTATAAAATTATAAATAACTCACTGTAATCTAAAACCCTAACAAAATATGAGGGAAAGGTAAGTATTGATCAAAACTAGCGAGAGATGAGATGATTTACCTTGTTTCGAGCCATGAGAGAGAGTAAAAGCTTGCTGCAGAAGCTCAAAATGAGAGAGAAAGGGGTTTTGCTTTTTTCAAAAAAAGTTTTGAAAATGTCTTGACGGGACTAGACTGGCCTTTTTTGGCTATTTCTTCCCGCCTCGGGTTGAGGCAAGAGGCAAAGCCTGTGGCAGTGGATTTCTTATACAGCGGTAAAAAAACAGACGGAGATTAAAAGCCCAAAATAGTTTAAGCACTAACCATCTATTTGGCCCATTATTTTGACAAAAAGGGCAAATTAACCCATTAAACAAAAACGCATTGCCAACTGCCAAGCCACATCCACCCAAAGCGAGTGCTTTTTTGACCACGTTTGGTTTAAGAGGGTTAATGTTAGGGGATTAGGTGTTAGTCTCTGGGATGGTAGATGTTAAGAAAATTGTAATCTATGTTTTTCTTTCTCTTTTTTTCAATCAGAATAGTTAATGAAGTAATGTTTTTCATTTGCGCAAAACTAACAGGTTTTTCCATATTAATCTTAATTTTTTCATTCAATATGATTAAGTTAGAAAGCTGATCAATCACACAATAATATGGAAAAAAATTATTTTTTTGAAAACATTTTTTTATGTGAGAAAAAAAAAGAACAAAAAAAGAAAAGTGGTTATTGAAATAAATCTTGTTAATTATATTATTATTATTATTTACTTACATACATTGTTTCAATTAGTTGAAACTAAAAAGACAGAGTGGTTGAATTGTAAAACCAATACTATGGTAGAACTTTTTAATATCATATAGAGAAATTTTATAATACTCAACGAGATACATTAGTTATTGTACAAGTCCACTTTTGAAGAAAAAAATAGACACATAAAAAGATAAAGAATCACATTTTAACTTACAAAAAGTTATAAGAAGATTTTCATATTAATTTAATTTTTTGTTTCTATTATATTTCTCTCTCTCTTTTATTTATCTCTTTTTATGAAATAATTTATATTAATTATTTTTTAAGTATTCTAAAATTTTTCGATTGCAAGATATATGAGTGTACATAATTTTGATACATAGCAATGTATGAATATGACCCTAATTCTTGACACGTTTCTTATGGTACGAAATGATCTAATTTCCCTGCATCTTCATTTTTTGGGTTGGAAATTTTGGTCTTTCCATTGCTTGATATCGCATCATCATTCACTTCATGATTATCACGAGTCAAGCGTGGAGGCACACAAATATCGTCGCAATATTGAAAGCATTCTGTGTCGTAATCGCAAAGCTTTAAGCAATCCGAGAAGTCACTTGCAGCACCCATTCTTGCACTAGACACGATCACCAGTATCATTAAGAAGGTGCTTATAATTACCCTAACCCCTTTTACCTCCATATCTCTAATTCACGCAATCAGAAAATAACACACTTTCCCACTTTTGGCCTCGTATATTTATAGGCAAGCACTACGTACATTACTACTGCACACTCTTGGACACCCGACTTAAAGTGCCTTTTTATGGTTCATCCATTTTAAACGCAATTATGGTACGCATGAGTAGTCCATTTCTTATACTGAGCATCTTTCTCTCTCTTTAAAATAAGATTACTATCATTAATTGATAAATGTCATTAGAAGCAAATTCGGTTAAGCATTTTTTTTTTCAATAAGGATATGTTCATATGATGGATGAACCCTTTTTAATTCATCTTTTAAAAGTCATTAATAACACACGTAAATCCATAAAAATAACTACTTAGGTCATTAATTCATCTCTTGAGGAAAAGGCATCTCTGAATATCTTTATACATCAATCGGTTTTCAAGATATCGAGAAAAACTAAATTGAATTTTCTATTAAAATTCTCAAAAAAAAAAAAAAGAAAGGAAAATATCCATCTCAAATTCAAAATGCTTTCATTGTTATCGAAATATGTACAATTTGAATGGAATTTATTAGTAACAAATGGCAGAGAGAATCAACTCAGAATTTTCTAAGATTTTAAGAATTCATTTGAAACAATTGATGAAAAACTCAATTCGTATATACACACACTAAATTTCAATAATTTGTTTGAAGTATTTATTATTATTATTATTATTGTAAATTTGAAGATTTTTATGGTGATGCCACGTAGAATAATATGTTATTTTTTAATTTAATTTTATTATTTTTTATGAGAAATATTACACAGTTTCTACCTTATATATATATATATGTATGTATGTTTTATGCTATTATGCAAAAGTTTTTTATTTTATTTTTTATATTAATCTACACAACGCGTGGATAATAGACATTCCTATATCTATATTAAAGCATTCTACGGCTTTAAGAACCCGTTTTAACAACATTGCCATAACTGAGCCCAACAGACGAAGACCTACAAGCCCGTGATTGGGTAAATTGATGAAAAACCCAAAATAGTTTAAGACCTAATCATCGAATTTGCCCACTAAGCAGAAAATTGCCAAGTCGGCCGAAGCCACATCTACTCAAAGCTATAATTTGTATGTTATGCTTATTCTTTTCTTAACTTCTCTTCAAACCTATAATAATTCATTCATTCATTCATTCTTTCTTTTGAACTTGCATCAAATCATTAAATCGCACCAATATATGTTACTTACTGTTTGTAATTGTATTAAATTTGAAATTTACGTGTTACTTACTGTTTGTAATCGTATTAAATTTGATTTAGCATTTACTAGAACCTCCGTTGATATAATTAATCTTGTACGTACATCGATCAAATACTGTTTTAACGCCTGCCCCTCGAACATTCCGTTTATCACATGTTTAACATTTAGTTCTTTAGTTAATCTTAAATTTTCAACATTGATCCAAACACAACTTAAAGCAAATAAAACTTCCATTTGAATGATTTCGAAGTGCAGCAGGAGGGAAAAAGGGTAAGATGCCATGCCTAATGCACCGTATCTCAAAGGACACAAGTGAAATCAGTAGTTTTGTTGGAATCTTCAATTTTTTGGCTGGCATCTTTATGCCAGGGGACAAACCTAGGGTTTATTGATCTGGACGAGCTCAATACATACGTGTCTTACAATGCATAGATCCATGGACTTTACCATCTAGTTGTGCACTTGTGCTTCACCATAATTTATTTAAAAAAAAACAAAAAACAAAAAAAAAAAACAAAAGGTAGGGGGAAAAAAAAACAGAAACCCAATCTTTTCTAAGACCGTCAACACGGCACGGCTCGTCTATTGCAAGGTGGACTCGAGCTCGCCTCAAGGATAAAAACACCTACAAAATTGCGCAGACAGGCAACAGACAAACAAAGCGAGAGACACAAAGCTTAGAGTTCGTAAAACATGGCTTCAATGGCACCACCAAAAGTCTATTCTGGCTGTTACTGTAAGACTCGCTGCGTCAAACACCGCAACGGTTTCACTCGTCCTCGTATCCTCTTTTGTCAGCAGCAGTACAACGACAACGACAACAACAAACCCCAACATCAAATTGCTCGAAGGTACCAAATTCGATATAGACATGTATATATATTTACCTTGAATGTGTCTATCCAATAAGCTGAAGAAGTTCTGATAAAAAGTATATAAATTTGAAGGGAAATAGTACTGAGGAGCAGTGAATTAGCGGTAATTGGTGCCATTTTCAATCTCAGGTATGTTTCTTCATCTCCACCTCTCTTTTTCCTTATCCCTTTAAAGTCTCCCATTGGCAAATTATCAATGACTTTTTTAGGACAAAAGTTAGGCAGAGAGAGCTGTCTTCCATTCATAGTAATATTGTCTATTCTGCATTTAGTATTTTCTCATGAATTTTCTAATCCGTACTCAGCTGGTATATGGACTAAAGAGATGGATTCAGCAAGATGATTCAACAATCTGACAGTCAAATAAAAAAAAAAGCATTTGATGGAATCAGACAGTTGTAAATACGACAGTAATAAAAATATCTGTCAATTTTTTTTTTTCAAATCACGATTAGGTATCAATAGATCAGTTTTCGCTAGACAATGTCCTTAATTTCAAACGGTAAAAGATTTTATATTTTGTACTAAAAAATGTTCAATCTTGCTTGTGATGACAGTGGAAAAAAACCTGATTACCTTGGAGTGCAAAAGAATCAACCAGCTTTATCGTTGTGTCCAGCTACCAAGAATTGTGTTTCAACTTCGGAGAATATCACTGATATTACCCACTATGCCCCTCCATGGTACGTGCTGTTCTAACAGACATAAAAAATTTGGCAGACTTAATTTTTTAATGTTTCTAACATGTGAAAAATATGTCCCAAGTCCCAACTAGTGCATGTCGTGGAGGACGACCATGACCGGTCAAATTAAACACGTGCTGAAAAAATTTTGGATTTAATTTTTTTCCCCCTACTGTAGGAACTACAATGGTGGTAGAAAAAAGCCTGTCAGCAAAGAAGTGGCAATGGAAGAGCTTCTTGATGTGGTAATATGTCTATTCAAATTCCTTCTGAACATTATTGATCAAAAGAGAAATGTGATCTTTAAACAATTTAACTGCTTTAGGATAGTAGATTAAGTTTTAACCTCAAAATTGGATTGAGTTGAATCTGAATAATTATCAATTGTGCAGATTAGATCAACAGAACCAGGGAAATTTACACCAAAGATTGCAGAGAGGAACGATGATTATGTGCACGTGGAATACCAAAGTCCTATTTTAGGGGTAAGCTAGACTCTTCTCAGGGCATTGCAATTGAAAACTTTTTATTGCAATGAAGTGCTTTTACATTAACGTGCTGATGTTGTTTCAAACAGCTCGTCGATGATGTTGAGTTTTGGTTTCGGCCAGGGAATAACGCAATTGTGGAGTATCGATCTGCATCCCGCTTGGGAAACTTTGATTTTGATTACAACAGAAAGAGAATCAAGGTGAGCTTTTCTAACAATATATATAATATGGGGTCCTTTCCTTTGAAAATATTTTCACTCACTTAGCAATATGGTAATGCACATTCAATGACCTTGGTCCTTGGCACTCTTTGCAGGCATTGAGAATGGAGCTGGAGAAGAAAGGATGGGCATCTGCAGATGGTTTCTGAAGGACCCATACTTGCTGGCTGCATTTAGAACTTCGATAGCTTTCATTGATGTTGAAATAAAAAACAAAAAGAACAAAGAATAAGATGAACCCGGCAAATTTTACATCTGCCCTTGTAATCCTTGATCCCATGATGATTGGAGGGGAGGTCCCATATCTCTTCTGGGGTTTCCCGTGATCTAGTGATCCAAGAACAGAACTGATAGATAATCTTGTGGGTGCTGGTGCTGTAATAAAGTCCATGTGTTTACATAAAGAGTCCGTTAGCGTGATGATAATGGGCTGGGGCTGGGGAAGCTTAAACCATGAACCCGATCCTAAAATGATGACTAGGAGTGTGTATTGATAATTGATTAGACCATTCGCTATTTCTTGAAGCTCTCTTTCTCTCTGTCTCCCCAGACAAACGATATAACCAAGAGAAACCATGGATTAAAATAGAAGAGTTTACCCTATCCATGAGTAAATGTTTAGTTGTAGCCCTTACTACAAGGCTATGTGCATAACATCCACAAGTATAAACCTATTAGCAAATGCTCAATGTTCAAGTTCGTGATGTTAACTAATTGTTCAATGTCAGATTTTGGTACGAGAAAGAAGACATTTGAGGACAAGTTAGTTGACCTAATAAAAGAAACAATAAGCACTTCAAATCGCATACTAGAGATGAAGTCCACAGAAACCTCTACTAGGTAAAAATAGCGGAGCTGGATTGAAAATCCATCTCCAAATACCTATTTTAAATATCATGCAGACCAAATATGAACAGTACAATTTATAAAATCCAGACCAACACAAATTGACGAGAATAACAAATTTGGCTTAAATTCAGCTGCATTTGTCTAAAATACAAGAACGCTTTCAACATTGCAAAACATTCATTAACTAGGGAAATGCAACTGTTCAAGTTGTGGACTAATTTAAAAGTTACATTGCAATGGAAGAGATCATAACGAAACAACCATATGGTAAATGACGACTGCAACTGTTTGATGTACTTCAAACTTCAACTTCTAGTAAGTCCAGCGGCGTGATTTTAGTGGATCAATCTTTTCTGAGTTCTGCATACTCACGACGAATACCATCAGTGTTTAAGATGACAATTTCAAGTTTGTCTCCCTGCAAAACAAACATGATATGTTAAGTGCATGGCAAATGAACTAAAGTCACAACAAAATATGGACATGGGCAGTGCTTTGTATCGGTAATAATTCAGAGAGAGAGAGAAGCTTTCCTTGAGATACTGGATATAATTAGAGAAAGAAGAAGAAGAACAATTAATTAAAAGGGAATAGGCTGAAGAGGAAACAGAAATTTACAGTGTATATATCCCTCTCAGTTGCAGATGCAAAAACATCTTTGACCACATCAATTGCTTCTGCCTCAGTAAGTGGAGTCACAGCATCCTGCAAAGGTCACAAGTTTTTAGATAACCAGAGAAAAGATGAAAAACCCCAGAACAAATGAATAAAGAAACAATGTTAGCCCGGCGGACAAACCTGCACAGGTAATAAAAGAGGGCTGGGGGACTTCAGCTGGTTATCCAGCACAGGCATGATGAGTTTAGCACCAGAACCTTGGGCGCTATATCCAACCTTCTCATAAGAACCGACAGCATCGTAAGTGTAAACACAGCCCTTTCCTACAGTTTTACAAGAACACCAATTTGTTAACACCAATCAAAAGCTTAGAACTGCACACCATTGACTTGTATCACTTACCTTCCTCATCAAACCCAACCAAGACATTGAAGGTATAATAAGGGAAGAAACGTTTGTAGTAGAGAGTGTTGGAGAGCAATCGAGCCATGGCAGGGCAGCTCATCTGCTTGTTGTGTTGGTGTTGATAGATCTGTTAAATGATTAAGACAAATTTTAGCTTCAGTACCAAAACGAAGAAACCAATTTCTTTTCCAACACAGCAAAATGTAGTTCGTTAAACCACAAAATCACAAATATTAAATAACACACTCTTCTAGATGGTTTTTGTTACTTGAAAGTTTCAGCAGTACAAAAATACCAACATTCATAATAGATATAAGGTAGACAAATTAGATTGCTCTTGGTGCTTCTTCCTCCAAACAAGAACCTCTCCAACTCCTTCCATGTGGCAATCTTTACAAATTTCAATTTGGACTATAATCTTGAAAAGATTGGGACCAAACCAACTTCCACATTCTCCAGAACAAACACTGAAAAATAACTAGCACCCTAATAAAACTTATGAGTTTTCCTTCAAAGGAAAAATCTCAACATATAGCAAGACTTCAAAGGAATGGAACCAATGTGATCTCATGCACATATCTAATCAATTATAGCATGCTTCTAATTTAATTTTGGTGGAAGAAATTCTGCAGAACTAAATCCATAGGTTGTTCTATCATTCCATCAATTTGAATAGAGAGAGAGAGAGAGAGAGAGAAAGAATAGAATAGCCTCAAGTTAAACGGAATTAACAACAAACATAGCAGTTTAGTTTTCATGAAACCTCACCAGGTGCTTAGCGCCCAACACCTTTTGTAGGGCTCTCACATCAGCTTGGAAGCCGGATGAGGCCATTAAACATTTGTCCGCTCTGAAAGCAGCAAAGCACGTTAAGCCAGTCTTAATAATAAATAACTAAGAAAAAGGACGCTTTTACTTTCAGATCATTGTCAAAATTGATTCAATAACAACTAAACCTATCTAATGCATACTAAGTTCCACAATTTCACTTTCCCAAATGTGTGTCGGGCAGTGGCAAGCGCGTGCAAGACAAGTTCAAAGACATATCTCTGAACTCATATTTCTCCAATTTTGATCATGCATTAAACCATTCTAATGAAGTCCTCAATAAATCAAAATCCCTAATTGAATTATTCTTAAAGTCATTTGATCGAAAGATGAAGTTCGATTGTTACACGTGTACTTGTGCGAATTCATCCGCTTTGAAAAAAGCACAAATATTTTTTTCTCGAAAAACTAGATCAGTTTCACATGGAGTAGTCTACACCACCAGCATCCACTTTTACACTGGCGTTGTCGAAATTAAATAAAACTAAAAAATAAGTTGTAAAAAAGCAACACTTATCAACCAATTTCATTGAATACAGCCCAAATTCCCAATTGGAGTACAAAAATAAAAAAAACATTCAACATTGGAGAAACCCACAAACTAATTCAATCAAATGGCTAAAAACGAGATTAAGAAGACATACAGTTTATAGATTTTGGAGTAATCGCGAGTGAGAATATTGTATCCGGTAGACATTCGAGTATCAGCAGCGACTACACAGTAATCAGCTCCAGCAATCGCAACACAAGTCCTTCAAAAACAAAATAAAAACAATCAAAATCAAACCAATAATACACATGACTCACTGAGAGAAAGAGGGAGATAGAGGATGAGGGCTACCCTCCATTAAAATCGTAGGGTTCAAATCTTGCTTGTTGCTTATTCATGGTGTGATTGAGAGAGCGAGAGAGAGAGGTGTTAGGGCTCAGAAAGAATTGAAGTATTAAAACGTCAAGAGAGCTTAAAAAACTTGGGCTTTATTTGTTTCAGATCTCTTGTTGGTTCTGTCTTGCAGCGTAATTCAGAGTTTTTTACTCTCTTTAACCTTGGTTTCTCAAAACGCCCTTTTTACATCCATCGCCATTCGGTAAACGGTTAATGCTTTTAAAAACGTTTTTAAGTTGAATTCATGCCTTCTTTAATTTTATTATTATTTTTTAAAAAAAGAAAAAGACATCTCTCTCCAGTATTCCTCATTTGTAAGTTTTTTTTCGGTTTGTTTGAAAATAGATTATTTTGGGAAACTGAATTATATGAAAAATTATTTTTAGAAAACTAATTGTTTTCTACTATTTGACTGTGATGAAAATTAGCTAGAAAAAATTTATGATGCTTAATGTATACCAAAAAATAATAGTATTATAATATTTTTTAAAAAAATTAAAAATTAGATGCACATAAAAACATATAAGAGATTGATTTATAACGTAGATTCACAAGAAGAAGTATTATAGACCGGATATGTTTGTATTATCATGCCATGTTGTAGTTGTTGCACCGTACTAAGAGATAAAAAGATAATATTTAATAACCAGTTATTGTGTTGGATTGTGAGCTAAAAACAATGTTGGGTTAAATTATATTATTATGTTTTCAATATATAAAATTATCAATAAAAATTATATTTAAAATATTTAACAAAATATATTTCATTTTTATTGAATGATTTATGACTTCTTGACTTGTATAACATATGAATATTTTTTTAGGAAAGTAACTCTTAAGTTCAAAACAATAAATAAATAAAATAAGATGATAATATATATAGACATATCATTCAATAAAATCGATAACATATAAACAAAGACTTTGAAATAGAATTATGTAAAAACACTAACGTATTTGGAGCGTGTAATATTTTAAGAAAATTAATTTAGAAAGTTATCATTTTAATTAAAAAAATGAAAAATAAATCCCACAATAAGTAGTAGTGTTTTTGGTTAAAAGCAGAGGTTTCCTCCTTTGTTTCAAAAGCAAAACAATGTCCGTTTATGTTTTGATTTCAAAGCTAAATAGGCATTAACCACACTGTTTTTAAATTAAAAGGCTAAAAACATTTGTGTTTTGAAAGCACAACACCACCAATCAAGCACATACTCTAATAGCAAATATTGCAATAAAATATTATGTTTATTACATCAATAATGTTTAATAAATTCTATAATGATACAAGTATGATATCCACTACCGAATAAGTTTTTATTCACACAAATATATATTGTGTAGTGTAATGCATTTAATGTGGATAGACATAAACAAATTTTAATTTTAAAATACTTAAGAAATAATTAATAATACTTATTTTATGGGTTCACTTTTTTTTTTTTTTTTTAAAGACAAATATAAATAAGAGAGATAAAATTAAACTTGATAAGAATATTTTCATTTAAATTTGATATATATATATATATATATATATATATATATATATTTTGAAATAAATATTGTTAGTTACATTTAACATAAAATTTCTCCATATACATGTAGTCTTGTCCTTGTTACATAGGTATGTGATCTTTAATATTTTATTTCTGTTAACCATATAATATGAAGTTGGATAAACCAGCGAAGCATGGACATATAACTAGTAAATTTGAGGGCCCAAGAGGCCCTCTAGCGTTACTAAGCCCACTACAGTAACTTCCGTTTTTACGGTTTTATTGTTTCTATTAGACTGACAGTTTTATTGTTAACTCTCCAACATAAAAAATTATTTTCTTTTTCTGTTTTATCGAAATCTTATTAACGATATAAAAGTGATAGAAAACCTAGTCCAGTAAAAGGAATGATCACAAACTCAACGTGGTGTAAATCGCGAATGTGGTTCAATAAATAAACTTTCAGAGTTTTTTCAGGTGTGAGGATGCTCTCTCTCTCTCTCTCTCCCTCCTGTAAAATTCCCATAATCATAAACTTAAAGAAAAAAAGGAAAAAAAAGAAGGAAAAATAGTCTAACGCCGTTGAAAAGCATGTCCTTAAGACTCATATTTCTACACCAGGATGGCAACAGACAGAGTGATTTAATGATGCAACAGCTACATTCTGTCCATTCCTAACATCCTGGAGCATGTTTTAGAAAATCTGATCCAGACTAGCTTCTAGAAGTTGGTTACATTGGCAATCAAAAAATCCAAGAGATATCAACCATGTAGTGGATATGAGCTAATTTTAATGTTTGTCATCCATCCATTTTTTCGCAACGTATATTGGCATGCATCAGTTTTGATGCATCCTTTCTATTTTTTGAAGTAATTAACTGGATTTTTAACACTGTCTAGGTGGCTACACTTGCTATGCTATCAAGCTTTGGCTGTCAGGCCCTGACCTCCCTCTTGTTCGTTTCTCTATTTTTAGCCATACCCCACTTATATAAATACCTAATGCACAAACATCTCCTGCATCATATTCTTTCACCCATTAAAAAAGCTCGCCATTTTGTATCTCATTTGCATCCCTTCTACCTTTCTTTCTCATCCAAGACGGAACACACACACGCGCGCGCGCACACACACACATATTCAACTGCATTGTCCTCAATATGCCAAATCCAATTCAGGATAAGGAATTTACATGTACATGGTGCCTTTTGATTGCATCATTTTGATTGCTAATTCAAAATGGCAACAAAGGTAAGACAATGTTCCATGAAGCCCGCTTGGATTGAGGTTGCACCATCCCTCCTCGGAGGTTTCCCATCGAGGCCTTCCAAGTTTTTCAGACTGGAAAAAATTCGGGAAGATAGAGCTGAAGTTTTTGAGGATGAGAATGATGAGAATGGCGATGACGGCGATGATTGATGGTTTTCGCTGGCCTTTTCAGTTTAGAGTTTTAGAAGCTGTCACAAGGAAGATGAGATGTTGGCTACCTCAAAGAAGCTCAATACCATACATATTTGATGCAGCATATGCTTTGCTGGTATATTCCATTATATATCTGCGCAGAGAAGTGGGAATTGATCTTGGCATTTCACAAGAGATCAGGTGCTACTTAACCATTTTACTACTAGGTGTTTCGCAATGGGTTGCAAATTTTCGTTTAGGGAGACTTGTAAACGCAAAATTATTACGAGCCCGGCTCACCATGAATCTGCTCACATACCTTAAGTGGGATAATGTATGTGGGGTTATTCATAAGTGACTTGTTGCGCCACTTTATGAATATAGAATAATGATGAGTCGGGCTCGTTCAATAATTTCTTTTGTGCGTACAAATATGAATATGGTGTGTATCCTTTTCTATAATATGATGAATTTTAATTTTTCTAATTGCTGTTTCTTAGTTAATTTCTATATACTACTGGATAATGGTCGATATTAAACCAAAGAGAGAGTTTTCAAAATATTTGTGTATTTTCACATGTAATAAAGCTAGAGACAACTTCTCATGCTAGGCTATTTGCATTGGCCTCCTGTAATGACTGGGAACTAAAATCTCTGGCATCATATTTCCTCTCACATCAGCATTTCTGTATTTCTTCATTTCCTACGCCAGAGTCTACTCCATTTTTTGAGGGTCTGAGTAAATTGACTCGAAACACTCACTCTTAACATTTGGCCCTATAATTTCAAAGAGAAATTGATCAAAATAAAATTTACTCCAACTTCAAGTTTTTTCACAAATTAATTGATGTCAATTAATAGGAACCAGATACCGAAAAGTAAGTGTGCAAGAAATAAAGCACACATAACTTTGAACTACAATGGTGATACAAAAAAAAAAAAAAAAACTGTTAGCAGATTAGTGGCAATGGAGGAGCCTCTTCAAGCGGTAAAAATGTCTGTTCAAATTCCTTATATGCATTTTGAGCATAAGAAAAATGTTACAAAACAGTGGATTTATATTTACAAACTGCAAAATTCCACAATTTGAATGCTTCATGCTAGTCAATTAAAGCTTCAACATCAGAAATTAGATTAAGTTGGATCTGAATCTAGCCGTCAATCTTGCAGATAAATACCCATTAGCTAGGGATGTAATTGTTCAAGCTGTGGACTAATTTATAAGTTGCATCGCAATTGAGAAGATGATTGCACAAAACAACAGATGGAAAATGACACCAAAGGATGTTTGATGCACTTCTAGTAAGACAGTCAGGCCAGTAGCATGATATTCGGTGGATCAATCTTTTCTCAGTTCCATATATTCACGACGAATGCCATTAACATTTAAGATGACGATTTCAACCTTGTCTCCCTGTAGAACAAACATGAGATGCTAAGAGCATAGCATAGGTGCTTTTCAGATAAAAATAGCATCTAGCGTGGATAAACTACACGAATGAACTGAAGTTGCAAGAACAAAACATCAAAGAAAGAATGCATAGGCACTGACATAGTAATTCAGACTGGGAGAGAGAGTGGCCTCCATCCATGAGAAACAAGATTTAATTTAAAGGGCAAAAATAGGGGAGGTGGTCAGAAACTGGAAAGGAAACAGAAAGTTACAGTGTATCTATCCCTCTCAGTTGCAGATGCAAAAACATCTTTGACCAGATCAATTGCTTCTGCTTCAGAAATTGGAGTCACAGCATCCTAAAAAGTGACTAGTTTTTAAGTTAACCAGATAAAGATGAAACACTTCAGAACACATGAATAAAGAAACAATGTCAGGCAGAAGCACATACGTGCACAGGCAATAGAAGAGGGCTAGGGGATTTCAGCTGGTTATCCAGCAGAGGCAAGATGAGTTTAGAACCGGAACCTTGGGCACCATATCCAACCTTCTCACAGGAACCTACAGGATCATTAGTGTAAACACAGCCCTTTCCTACAGTTTAAAATGAGAAAAACAATTCATTAATATCAAGTGTGAGCTTAGAAGAGCACCATTGACTTGCATTATTTACCTTCCTCATCAAAGCCGGCCAAAAAATTGTGGGTACCATAAGGGAAGAAACGTTTGTAGTACATAGTGTTGGAGAGTAGTTGAGCCATGGCAGAGCAACTCATCTGCATGTTGTGTTGATGTTGATAGATCTGTTCAAAGACCAAGAACAAATGTTGGCATCAGTGGCAGAATAAGAAACCGATTTCTTTCCCAATGCAACTAAAGGTGGTTCACTGAAACCACACGATCACAAATAGAACACAAACTTCTAGATGGTTGATGGTTTCGTGAAATTTTCAACAGTAGAAAACACCACCACTCTTAATACATATACAAAATACAGGTACACAAATTACATAGCTCTCAGAATCTCTTCCTTATAATTAGAACCTCTTCAAGCTGAACCTTCCAACTCTTTCCATTTGGCTATCTTCGCAATTTTCCGTTTGGATTATAACTCCGAAAAGATTTGGGCCAAAACCAACCTCCGCGTTCTCCTAAAAAACACTGAAGAAAAAACTGGCACCTTGATAAAGCTCAGGAGTTTTTTTTCCAAAGGAAAATCTCAAGACATAGTGAGACTTCAATTTAATTGACGAACATTTCCAATCCCCAAAGTAATACAGTCAACAAAATGGAAATTATAAGTGATCTCATTGAAATATCTAACCAATTAGAGCATGCTTCAAATTCAAATTTCGTGCAAGAGTTCTACAGAACTAAAAGAGTAATCAGTTTAGTGTTCATGAAACCTCACCAGGTGCTTAGCTCCCAACACATTTTGTATGGCTTTCACATCACCTTGAAAGCCAGAAGAGGCCATTAAACATTTGTGCGCCCTGCGAGCAACAAAAGCACATCAAATCAGTCTTAAACAAACTAATCATAGAACACAACCTCATTAACAGGCTGAGCAATGGATGAGAATGCGTGCAACTGCAAATTCAAAGACATATATGTTTCTCCAATTAAGGTTACAATAAAAAATTCAAATCGAACGAAGTTTTCAGTGAAGCAGAATCCCTATTTCACTTGTTCTTACAGTCCTTTTAGCACGGTCCAATCACTATCAGGAGAAGGCATCAAGCAAAAATTAAGTTCAACTTGCCTATAGCTTCCAATGCAATGCAAACCAATTCCTCTTTTGTAAAAACAGCACAAACTTTTGTCCAAAAATTACCTATATTTCACAGAGTATCTCCGCTAACGACCATTTATTTACAGTGGGGTTCTTGAAATTAAAATAAAACTAAAGTACCCTATTGTACACTAAATTAAACCCGGTTGAAAAACCCCAAAACCTAAGTAAACTAAGAAGCTTCGCCATAAATTTCTTAAAGAAAAGTTTTGAGTATATTAAGTTAGAAACAATTTTGACATAAATAAGAAATTACTAAATATATTAAAACAAAACCTATATTCACTGGGGCACACACGGTCCATTTTTTTTTCTATTTCACTGTTCATTCCAAAAAAATGTTCATTTTGATCCCTTTTTTTAATAATATTTTTTCAGTCTGAAATTTCATTTTCGTTTGTTTTGATCCCTACATTCTAAGAGGAGAGAGAAAGGAGAGAGAGAGGACAACTATTGAGGCCCATTCCGATCACCTTGACCGTCAATCTTACCATCATTTTATTCATCTCAAAAAATAGAAAATTTTTATTTTTTTTAATTTTTTTTTGTGGAAAGCCATTAAATGGTAGGAGGTAAATTGAAACCCCAAAATATTTTGAGTTTTTTATTTTGATTTAAATTTGTGTGTGTTTTATGTGAATTAAATAGATTTTGATATTCTAAATAAGTTTTTTTTAAGTTATTTTAAAAATTTTGAGGTATTTTTGGATAAAATCGTAGCTAAATTTGGTTTTGGAAAGCCTGAAAAATAAAACCCAATTTGTCGATGCTTTTTCGACAAAATCAGTAGCCGGAGAACGCATAAGTCGCTAGAAATGAAGAGAACTTTTTTTTGACCCAGACCAAGGCACAAGGGCTTGGTCCTCCAGGCCCAGTCAAGCGAGCTTTCTCTTTGGTTTTGTTTTTGTGTTCTTTAAGAATTTTTGGGCAAAACTTATAGAATATGGAATATTATTATTTGTATTGTTAAGATAGTGTGGTGAATGCGAATATTTATATATTAGATTATATTATTTTTATTATGTGAAATTTATTTTTTAAATTTGTCATTTTTATGAAAATCCTCATCGAATTAATATTTTTTAATAAAATTTTATTTATTGATAAATATTTTTTTTCTGTATTTGAATTTTAGAATAATTTTTTTTAAAAAATAAATTGATATAATATAAATCATGTATTCTTAGAATTTTTTAATGAAATTTAATTGTGTATAAATATATAATTATTTTAATATAAAATATAAAAAATTTTATTTCATATAATTTGTCATAATCCACTAAGTATGATTAAGATGTATAAAAAAAATTTACATCATATATTTTATTAAAAATTAATTATACATCTTCACACATAACACTAACTATTTGCTATAATTTTTAAAACATTATAGAATCAATTTATTTTCAATAAAATAATTAAAATATTTTTTTTAAAAAAAACCACCCTAGTATTCAAATCCAATTTTTTTTTTTGCTAATATTGTCGATTATTTTGTAAATTAAAAAATCTTTTTTTATGCCAGATTGATAAAATTTCATACAAACTTTATTTTTGGTGGTGGGAAATCTCCCTTGGTTATTGATAACCGGGAAACTCTCGTTTTTCACTTCCCTGTGTTTATGGAGAAAATCAAGGTAATCAACAAACATATACATATATAAAATAGAGAAAAGGCTGTTTGCGGTCCAATCTATATTTTTAAGGTGGATGTCCAGTTTTGGGCGGTGCATGTACAGTTCAAGATGATGGGCTTAGCCCAGTTCTTTTTAAGAGCTAGGCCTGAGCTAGCTTCTCTCTGAAGAAAAATTGGATAAATATTTTTATATCTTTCCAAAATTTAATCACTCTCAAGATTTATTTATTTATTTTAATTTGAATTCAATGATCCAATTTTTTATATAAAAAAAAAAATCATAATTTTGAAAATTGAAAACGCGATTACTCTTTCCAAACATTTGCGCAGTTGCTTGAAACCTCAAAATGAAATTTAAATATCTATGTCATTACCTTTCTTTTAATTAAACAATTAAACTTTATCGCAAATTAAGAAACTTTACCATTGGGGATGACAAATTGATATAATCATTCAATATTCTTTATGATGATAATTATATCGATTTGAAAAATATAATATTATGCTACAAAATTTAGATGCACTTTTAAACCCTTAAACATAATAAATTTTTCAAAAATAAAATAAAATTGGATTTCGCTATTTATCTTGTTCTTAAAAGATCACATTCTATTTTTTTTATTTTTTTATTTTTGTACACTGCGCTTTAGAAAATTAGCTTGTTAAAAAAAAAAAAACTGATAAGTAGTCTATTTTTAAACGGATAAGAAGAAGCGCAGCAAGTAGTATTGTTAAGCATGTGGATAAAGAGCAAGTAATATTTATTATTCCAAAAGGAAACAAGAAGTTAATAACGAGTCCTCATCCAATAAACAACGGTTTAATGCGTTTTTTTAGCATTTGGTTATCGGGACGGTGAAACATTTAGATTTGTATTATCAATGTGATTAATATTGTCCTTGAAGTTTGATTGGACTGTTATTATTAACAAAAAAAAATCCTTTAAAAAAAAATTCAAATTTTTGATATTTTGAACTGAAAATTTTCAAATATACTAATAAAAATTCAATCTATTTTTAAAATTAATTAAAAAAAAATTTAAGATCATGAATTTTTCTTAAAGATTAAGAATTTAGAAAATAATTTGCAATGTTCCTAAAATTTTTCAAGAGACCTAAAAAAATCATATACATTTATCTGCTTAGTTTTATTATAATTCTTGAAATATTTATTTGGTTGATTGCATAACAGCTAATCAAAATTTAAAATAAGTTAAATTTGAAAGCCACATATGTAAATATTTTGAAAACTATACTAAAATTATATGAAGATCCATACGACCTTCTTAGAAGTTCCAAAAAAATTGAAATAGTTTCAGCTTTTTTTTTTTTTTAATTCTGAAAAATAAGAAAAACAATCTCCGACTTCAAAAAAATCTGAAATTATTTGTGAGAGACTGAGAGAGGATTGTATTTTCATTGTTATCTCTGAAATATTTTACCTCAAAATATATAAAACTAAATTTTTATAGGGGCTTTTGGTCAATGATAGAGGTCAAATTAGATGAAGGAATAATATCTATCCAAAACATGATAGTTTAACGATAAAATTGATAAAATTTATAGTACAGATCTCAATTTCCAACAAATCTAATAGTCAAGGGGCAAAAACGGACCTTAAACTAATAAATAACTCCATACATACAGTTTCAAGTAAATTATATATCAGTCCCTTTAGTTTTGCAAAACAAAAAATTAGGTATTTTTGTTTAAAAAAATAATTAATTAATCATTTGACCAACGTTGATCATGACTAATTTAATATTATTTTGGCCCAAAATATATTTTCTTTTCTCATTAGTTTTTTCATATTTTTACTTAGTTTTTCTTTTGCTATTTCTTAAAACAAACACACACACACACACACACACAAAAAAAAAGCCTAAAAATAACGAAAAGGATTAAGTTATAATTGTTTAGTTAAAAACTAGAGAGACTAATTTATTATTTACTCATACAGTGCCTTATAAATACAAACAACAAAAAATTAACCTGATCTAGCAAAGACAAAAAACAGAGACAGGGATCAGCAAATTAAGAAGGCTAATTAGGCAGCAACAGTGATGGGGTTTCTTCTGTTTCTCGGATGGTTATGCAGCTTTGTGTTTCTTGTTCCACTTATGGGCATTATCAGTTACGGGGTCCGTTCTCATTCACTCTATTTATGTTCTTTCTTGTGATACTTTCTTTATTTATATTTTTTCTATATTCAGTCTGTAATCCTCTTGAATTTTCTTCATTTTCTCCTGTTGCAGAACATGGTCTTGACAGGCCTCGAGGCTGATCATCTGAACCCATATGATGCAGTATCTGGGCTAAACAAGCTTGTTTTCCCGGAGTTTTGTCTACAAAGAGCGTTATGCGTCAGCTTTCTATTAACAGGACACTGGCTTGTGTGTCTTCTGGCTCTGCCAAATCTCTATTACAATATCAGATCGTAAGTTTGTTCTTGATTCTCTCTGACATTTGTTTTTCATTGCATGTAATCTTGCAACTACCTGAAAATATTAACAATTACATTTACGTTATTGCTTAGTTGTCTTCATATCCTTCAAAGACACTGCAAATGTTAAATTCAAACCAGTAAATTGGATGTTGCTGACCATTGCTTTTTCAGTGCCTTCAAAGACACTGAATTAAAAAGGCTTAGAATTTTCGCAAGCAACGTTTTCCTTAAAAAATTAAATGGATTACAGATTTTCAAATTTCTTAGTTGTCGAATCGCTGCAAAAATGGTGATTGTGAGGAAAAAATAAGATTGACCACTATGTGTTTGAGGATACACAGTATATTTCATTGGCATAGTACTGTTAATTAGAAAATATTTAGGTTCCATGTTGCTAAGCCTACACTGCAATTCATGTCATGATTTGTAACTCCATGAACAGGTACATGCAGAGGCAACATTTAGTTCAAGCCTTTGACATCTTTAACCAGCTGCAGTGGGAAAAACAGAAAAGGTGGTACAAGATCATCTATTTGGTGACTCTTTTCATGGCTTCTACTGCAGGGTAATGTTATGAGATTTAGTTCAGCAATGCATGTAAATTGTGGACTTCTTTTAAGTAATTCGTCTATTGATCACTTAGTTATTGATTTTTTTTCCCCCTTTGTGATTGTGTTTTAGGTTGCTTTGGCATTTTCCTGAACTAATTGAAGATTAGTCAAGCAATGGTGCTCCTTCTGAGTTTCCTTTATGAGTCCCTAAAATCTTTGCAGAGTTCTGATCTGTTAATACTTATGGTCCATTTCAGACATTCTGATTTCTGATTATTGTCTTTCATTGATTAATTCCAGGTTTTTTGTTCATGGGCAGACTAGGATACAAAACTTCCGAGAAAAGAACTATGTAACTGACTCTCTAACTAAGTCTAGTCTGCTGAGATCTAATGACTTCTTAGTCTGGTTGTAACTTTTTTTATACCAGCACCAAAATGGTTTATGCCTATAATATAATCTTCGACTTCATCAAAAAAAAAAAAAAAAAAAAATTGCGTAAGGCATCTGTAAATTTAGCCAGAATCGACAGCAATTTCATACCATCATGTACACAGGCTTTTTTTAAAAAAAAAACAAATAAATATATAATTAGCCTTTTTTAGTTGATTGTTTATCAAGCTATACTGCAGTTTCATTAAGGTAGATGATTTTTCTATTATTTATATAATCTACAATCTTAAACCGCCCAAGTATTTCTGGCAGGGTTATGTAAGATTCTTCATATTTAAATAGAATAGGATGATAAATCAGACGTCACAGGCTTGCATACGTACGAACCTCCTTAGCAGGATCAAGATAACAGAGCCTTCAATCGGTTCTTTACCGAGGAACAAGATAGAGAGCGGAGATTATTCTGGCTACTTATTTTAGTTTTTTCTCCATCAAGTTTTTGGAGGGCTTATTTGGCCAGTATCACTAATTAACGATTCAGATGCTATATTATTTTAAGTTCTAAATATTTTTTATTGAAGACTATAACTCTTCATGTTGAGTTTATTGACGTCTAGAATGGTTTTTCCTGCGGCCAATTGCCAAACTTGCCAAAAACATCTTTCTTAAATAAATTATGTAGACAGTTAGGCTTACAGCTGGGTAATTATACTTTTAAAATTTAAAATATTTGCTGTCCTTGTGTTCTTGCTTGATTCCTCTTGGTGAACCAAAAGACGACACAGGGAAAAGTACATCATTATTGGCTATTGCTGCTTCGATTTTGGAGTGGAGGACGTAATTAAGGTTACAAGTGGCAGAAAGATCACATGATCATTTGGAAGCCAGCGGATGCAAATTGCAAATTAATGGAATAGGTAAGAAATGTTTGGATGAATGGTCAAAATGAGATAAGAAGTTTGTGGTTAGACAAGGATAAAATAGAAGTTTATGTTGCTTAATTTATGTCTGGATATGAGCATCTTTTTGGCACTAAACTGCCCCACAAATCAAACAAATAGCAAAATCCATCGTTAGTATCCTCAGCTTTTGTTTAGTTTCTTTGTTCGTTTCGTTTGAAAAGGAGGCAGTACTCATGTTATTTGATTGAAGACGACACCTCACCATCTTATCTTTGCATAAACCGTGTTCAGTTGCAAATAACATATATATAATTGCCAGTAGGTTTTATTATATAATTCATTAGCATTAATTCGTACAAAAGTAATCAAGAGGAATGCCCTGTTGCCTTATATTAATTTGTCAACTGGCCTGCACATCTTGAAATTTCAAATCTCACAAAAATATGCATTAAGAGGAGAGTCCATGTTTGAAAAATTGGCTGACGAGGGCTTGTAGATTTGCAATCCTACCAAGTAAGAAGATAAACACCCTTTAGCAACACAAACATTCCACAAAGAAGAAAATTCAGCGAAAGAGCGAGGGCATAAGTGTTGGGGTTGAAGATTTAAGCCATCCTAATTTGGGACGTAAACATGTATACGTCATACTGCCCTAAGAAATCCTAAACCTAACTGATCAAGTCTTCTATTATTAAATTGATTGGTTGCGTAGATAACAATTAAATAGAAAATGACGACATTCCTTTTTTAAGTAAATATTTCAACTATACATTAATTGTGCTCTAAACTATGTACTTAATTAGTACAGACAGTTGATGTTGCTTAATTACTTCCTGAATGCAAAAAAGAATTTTCCTTAATTAATATCCCTTTCCCCGACAGCAAAAGGTCATTTTTAGTTTTATAATCTTTTTTTCCAGTTTTAATTTGCAGAAAGACTGCTAGGAGTTCTGATATTTAAATTTGGAGCAAAATCTTTTTCCTAATTCAATTAAAAGAAAACCAGCTTGTTCCATTCAAATCATGATGCCATCGCCATATATTGGCCTGGTTTGGTAATTTTCGAATTCTGCTGACTGAAATGATATTGAACTTAAAGATACAGAAGCAAAAGAAAAAACCATCGATGCTAAAAGCGAACTTATAATGTACACAATATTAATTATTTTCAACCCATATCTATTAATTCATCATAGGAACATATACATGCACGTGCTATATGATCAGCTTATAGTCCTAACAGTATCCTTAAAAACACAACCATCAAGACTTAAAAAGCACAACACACACCCTCTCCCTTCCATGGCTTCACAAACATTTACAATCAGGAGAAAGAAGGGAAATGGGAAAGAAAAAAAAAAAAAGAAACCAATATTACACAATAAAATGGCAAATTCAAACTTTACGTGTTTGCCATTTATACTTGCACATATCTAAACATTGGGAAGCTGACCAATTAGCAAGACTTGCAAATTAACCAGCAGTTTTACAAAGAAACCTGTCCCTTTGAAACTCCTCCCTTCTTTCCTGATGAACCTTTGCAATAAATTCCTCTATTTTCTTCTCCAATTCATTATCATATTCCTCATCTTCACTATCTTCACCTTCTGTATCATTAACATCATCGTCATTATCTTCATCATATCCATCAGAACCACGATAGCTATCGTCATAACCATTAGAAGTACTATAGCTCTGATCATCATCCTCATAATCAGGGCTAGTGCTATCACAAACTTCGACTTCTTGTATTGTTTTGTCCATTTCATACACTGAAGGAGGAGGGAGAGACGAAAACGAGTACTCTTCTACAGATGACTTAGGTCTTCCAATAAAGATGGTGATGATTATAAAGTGGAACATGAAAAACAAAGTTACAAGGCTAGGTTTTGCCACGATAATGAAGTTATAGCTAGAGAAATGGAGATGGTTATGCTTAGAGATTAAGATTAGCGAACAGAAGAGGAGACATAAGAGTGTTGACGCTATAACTTTCTTCATGCACGCCTGATTGTGGGTTCTTTACTTAATTCTATGATGTATCTCTATCTCTCTCTATCTATCTATCTCTATCTCTATCTCCCTGTGTAGAGCAGAATCTCTTTAGTGGCTTTTTATATACCCCTCTTGATTCTTGATAACAAACCTTGTTGACTAAACTATAGTAGAGGTTTTACCAAGAAGTTACCTGAAGTCCTGAAATTGCCCAGCCTTCTCTTCTACTATTCGTGATTGCACATATTTCTTGACTCTCAAGAGAACCATATATATATAAAAAAAATAAGAAGTTAACAATAACAAAAGATAAAGAAAGTGATGCTTTACTGCATGGGTGTTTAGTAAGCAGTAAACCAAATTGATCGAGGAAGATATTTTTAGAAGTGGGTGACAGGAGATATTTTAACAAATAAATGAGTGCAACAACTGAGAAAAAGTTACCAATAAGAATACAAATAGTTGACTCCATTTATATATATTATTTATAATGAACCCAAGTCTTTGTTAATTTTGCATGTCACTAAGCTTCTCCGGAAGTTGGGGACAGCGGGGCTTCAAACTTCCAGAAAGAATATTTTACTACTACTACTACTACTTCATCTTTTACCTTTTTTCCATTAATTCGACTGTCATATACTCTACTTGCCATATATTAAGATTAATGATCCGTTTAGTCTAGCTTTTAGCTAGTTGTGGTGGTTGTTATGGTGATAAAAAAATTTGAGATAATATCATCTCTTACTCAAAAGTCCAAAAACTTTATTTTCGTTTCCAACCTTTTATTTTATTTATTTATTTATTATTATTAGTATATTTTTACTTTTAAACAGCTTCTGCTATGTTGCAGAACAATTTTTCCGAAAGCCTTTTGGTGCGAAAGTTACAAAACACACCTCGTTGCCAAACGGCCTCCAGGTCTACTTCACAAATCCAATAAAATGGGGGGTTTTTGCCCTAAGGACTTTTTGCGGCCTTGTCCCATTGGGCAGAAATGATCATTCCGGCCCTGGGAAAGGCGGCAAGCTATAATAAGAACTTGCTCTCTATGCAGATGTTGCGCATGTTGGGATTATAGGATTCGCGAAAAAATATATTCTCGTAGTATATAGCCCTCGAATACACCCTAGTTGACGAAGTAGGAAATACATACCCATTTACCAACCATGCCGTCCATTAAGGTTTCACACCTAACGCACTGACATTAATTACAGTATGAAATCGAATCATATCCACACATGATTTCTCTGACAATTTTATGTTATGCTAGTTTTGTAAGTCTTACAAATTTGTTAAGCCCACACTGGCTTCCAATTCAACAAGCTCACAGCTGCAAGCAATCTTCTACCATGCTTGTTTTGAAATGTCCTAAACAGAGGCAAATATTGTTTGATTTTGTTTTTTTAATATATATATATATAAAGGGAGTATCATGTGGTATATATGTTGCTATTATAAGAATTTGGCATAGGGTTTAGGAGAACTGTCACAAATAAACTCATAAGCAAGGCAAATCAAATGTGTTTACAACCAAATACTCTACCCGTGACAAACCAAAGAAGCCTACTTTAGATTAGCCCTAGTAATCAGATATCCTGTCTGTGCCCAACCAAAAGTATGTCATTCCTAACATCCTAGTTATTCCAGAAGAAATATTCAATAAAGCATACAGAGAATTTGATAAGAGGAGCAACTCAGACACCAAGATGACCGATCAATAGTCAGTAAGAGATGCTTGACTAGGACTACTGAAATTAACCTTCTGGCAATGATATGTTGATATCAGTTCCTGCGTTTCTCACATCCTGCATGGAGTGCATGGTGGCCCAATTTTCTCTTTGAAAGGAAGAATTTTGCTGCCCATGCGGTGTACCCACACTTTCTTCTCTCTCTGCAATAGGAGCAGGTATGGCTGGGGCCGGTGCAAAAGTAGTTGCTGGTGTTGAGTCAATCTTCGGCTTCTTAGGTTTCTGGTCCTGATGATTTCCTGGCAGGAAACTGCCTACAACAACCTGATATCACGATATTAAAGCAAGTATTTCAATCCTTGATTCATTTCAACTTCAGATGTAGGGGAACACATCAAACACCATGGTGCAGGAAGCTAAAAGTCTGTTTGTGTATGGTTTAAATTCGTACCACATAAACCCATTTTTATTTACACATCCAAAACCAGTGCACAGATCAGTATCTATATTTGTGCTTGGCATTTGAATTCCAATTGATGTGGAATTAAAGACATCAAAGCCTTCAACCCCTTCGTGTTACCGCACCTATGGTGGGGTACTGGCTGAGGAAAGCAAAGTGGAGTTTTCCTCCTTTCATATCAAATGAATAAAAGGAGCTTACCTGCACAGGACTAGCAGCCACTAGAAGTCCAGCAACACTTCCCCCCACAACACGACCATCAGGGCTTGCCAAAGAGACACTCATCCCACCTGATCTGCTCCTTGTTCCTTGTATCTCGGTAGGCATAAATGATCCAGACAACGAAAGTATTTCAAAGCGACCCTGTAAAATATAGAGGAGATTAAAAACTTCACACCGCAACTGAGCCACACAAAGTGAATTTACTTTTTTTGTTCTTTTTAGATACTAAAAAAACACACTTGAATTTCTGAATACAGTTGCTTCTACATTCTACTCAGAATAAAAAGCTCAACCAAAAACTTGCATTTCCTATTCATCTTCCTTTATATCACTAACACCAACACATAGACAAGCGAGATAGAAGTCAACACGTATGAAGAAAGTTTTTTCCACAACATTGACCATCGAGCATCAGCCAAATTGTCAGAGAAACAGTGTTTCCATTTTGATATAATTTAAGAATTATGCCTACATTTAACTAGTCCATTCTCCAGTGCAGTAGTAAGAGACTGCCACGCAAATGCATTGATGTTAAAGGTTACCCAGAGGAATGGCTTTTGAGGCCTGCTTCATATTGGACATTGTTTTATCAGAAAAACCTTATGGAACCTGGACTTGATTTTTCCCAATATAACAAAACCTTTTAACATTATGGATTACCTGAGTTTATAAGTTTCCAACAAAAATAAGAACACCTTCCAATTATTTGAAACAAGCGCTGGTCCGATCAAAGTTACCAAATTCTCAAAATCAAATAAATCCTAAGATTTCCCAACTTGCAAACACCACTTTACTCAGATAGAAATAAATTTGCAGATGTTGGCCTCAGAATCCATTTTGAAACCTTAGCCATCCTACACTTACAAAATCAAACCCGTGAAGAGGTAAACTACAATGCTGGTCCACTATAAAGAAAGCTAAAATAACACCAAAATATGTTAATTCTTACATTCAGAAGAGGCACTCATTTTAATTGTAAAGGTAACATGAGTTATTTAAGCAATAAGATGGAATGAGAGAACAGCAGACCTCGTATGTCAAAGTACCCCCAGAAGAATCAGGTTGACGAAGGGTGACATTTGAAATTACTCCATTAGCAGATAGGATGCAAATAGCACGTGGCCCTTGTTGTGAAAATGATATCACCTTCATGGTAACATCCTTAAACAACCAAAAAAGATTACAAGTGAAGTACTCTTTAAGCAAACAAAGAAAATCACAAGTGAAATAAAACAGAACAGTCAAATGGAAGTTAAATTTGCAATTTGTCCATTTTACCAAAAAAAAATAAATAAATAAAATAAGTATCACTGTAACTCAATCCCATCTATAAGTACTTAACCAAACCTATGCGTGAGCAAAATTAATTTTGGCAAGCATTTCAAAAGTGCCAGTGCTAGAGACAAAAACAATTAGCTATCACTCACCAAACAACTTGCAAAAGATGGATAACACAAAAAATAGATTGGAATGCAGCAAAAATGGTACTTGATCCTTTCAAATATCCATCATGATTTCCCTGGATGCTAATATATCCTCTAGAGACTTTTAAGAGAAGTTAAATCACATACCACGTGAACAATTAAATAGCATACTTTCAAGCGGAACAATCACTATGAAGCATTATACATCAATAGAATTATAAAAAGAAATCTAATTGAAAAAGAAAAACGATGTGTATGATGTGTCAGAAAGATGATCTGTCTCAAGGGAAAGGGACTCTGCCTAAATGGAATGACTCTACAATGTAATCGAGCAGTCACGACTTGGGAATCAAAAAAAAAAAAAATTGTCCCTATTAGAGGCCATTTATGCTTGCATGTTTTCTGAACTGATTGCCAAAAATGTATATTTTTCACACACCATATACAAATATATTAAATAAAAAATTCCTTGTGCAAACAATTTCTATATCAAAATAATCCAAATGAAGTTAACATTTCTCTATCTTTGGTCAAGCATACCTCGCCAGCATTAACAGTGATGACATGGGGCGTAAAATTGGTGCCAACAGAATTAGCAGCCCATTCACCTAAAAAATAACAATCAACAAACACCAGTGAATTCAACTAGCATATAACCCAACTTTTTTTAGATAACAGGGAAAATGAAGGATAGGAGAAACAAAAGTACGGAATATATAATTTTCCAGTCAGACAAATCTATGGAACAGCTTTTGAATAGAACTTCATACAATCTCACATGTTATTTTTTTATGCCCCAAAAAGTAAAAAACTTCCCATTGTCAAGCCAAGCTCATGAAGAGAGGCTTAAGCAATTTACAAAATCTTAAATTGATTTATCATTTAGGCTAAAGCAAAATGACATTGCATTGAAAAATTGACCGCAAGGTAAAAATTTCTAGAGTTTGGTAATTGGATATTGTATGACAGACAACATTTCACAATGAGTAGTTACCATTTGATAAAGTGAAAATTCATGTGAGTCAATAATACAGACAAATGGAAGGACTTGGTGCATTATAGCTCAGAATTCGAGATGCTGTTGTAAAACACTTGTCAAAGCTGGAGTACAGGGCTTCAAATCCCAAGCTCCAAGACAAACCAGTGTTCCAACCACTAATTTGCACCTGGGAAGCCTTGGGCTACTTGTACAGATTCAAAGTCTGCCAAGCAACTTCATCACTGATAAAGATCACAAGAGGGTAAGAGGGAATTCACAAGTGTCAGGTAAGAAAGCTTGACTCCACAAGGGGCAAGTTTGACATGCATCAAACAGCATATTCCATTGCTTTAGAAGTGCATTAGAAGGGAAGAATCTTTTACCATACCAAAAAAGAATTTAAAGCTCAAAGAATTCAAAAAGAGACCGTTTTCTCAGTTGGATCACGGCACCCAAGGAAGGACAGGAACACAAATAACCTTTAGCTGACTATTTTCTAAGGCAGTCGCTGTAACTAAAGACATTACCGATGAAGAATTCCAAACTTAACAAGTATCATTCTATTCCTGCCATCAGAGCACATTGTTCAATCCTCAAAAAAAAAAAAAAGGAAGGAATATTCTCAGCCTCATGCCAACCCAACAAAAACCCCACCTTGTTATTTTCAGAACCAGCACTATATAATTCCAAATCTAAACAACAGCATTTCACAAAACGGCCCCACGTGTGCTTTCAACAAGCGTTATCAAAAGATGATTTCACATTAAGGAATCTATGGAGTTTGAGGGACCTTTGAGTTCTTCAAATCAATCAAGACGATAATTCAAAAACCCCAATTGCACAACTAAAAAACAAGTTTGAAGACCAGTTCAACCATAACAAAAAGAAAACAATGACTAATCAGTCATTTAAATCAAAATCATTAGTATTCATACTATTATGATAACAGCACAAACTCAACCCGAAATAAATAGTTTTCGAAAGGGCAAAACATACCTAAATTCTCCATTCCCATTTTCTTGTACTTCTTTTTCTCATAACTACCAGGCCACACTTTCCCCGGCTTTCCAGCAGAATAGTCTCCACCATGTGGCGGGGCCGAAGCAGAAATTGGCATCGGTGATAATGCCCTCGCGACCGCCCCATCCGGTCCATATTTCCTAGGCCTCCCTCTTTTCTTCTTTTCTGCAGTTCCTCCAGTCAATCCTGCACCAACTGGTGGCACCTCTACGGCTGGTGGTGACACTACAATCTGGCCAGGATTTTCAGTCCTTGGCGCCACATGATAGTTTGATGGAGCTTCTGCTCCTATCACTGTTACCCCTGAACTTAATCCTTCTCTTCCTTCCATGCATAAACTGTAAATTATTCAAAAATCACCTGACAATCGTATTTTCCAGCTTCTGCAACACAGAAATTCATAAAAATTAGAATCAAAATAAAAGGTTAACAAACAATAAATTTTAAAAAAAAAACATGACCTCAGTTAAAAAAAAAAAAAAAAGGAAATTTACTTTAACCTAAAACATTAGCATTTTAATACCAAATTACCAAACATAGAAAAATCTCAAGATCAAAACCTAAAAAAAAATACATAAAAGTAAAAACAAAAGAGAATTTTAAAACAAAACCAGTGAATATCTAACACAACCTCAACATTGTGCTTTAATCTTCAAAGATCAGAACCAAAAACTTTCACATAAGAGCAAAGGAACTGTTAAACTCTACTTCTTTAAGAAATGCAAAAAAAATTGCGATCAAAGATCATGACCTGAAACAGGAACTTCAGGACTTCAAGAAGACACTCTTCAGAGATTGTTGCCTCTCTCTCTCTCTCTCTCTCTCTCAGCCCTTTTCACATTCGCTTAGCTTATTCACACAGTACTGGCACTTTCGAAGTTTCTCTCAACAAAACACTAAAGAACAAAAGAACAAGGAAAGAAAAAGAAGAAACTGTTAGTTTCCTGAGAAAACAATAATCTTCCCTTGTCGGAAAAATAAACCACTGGACTTGCCGGTCTGAACAGGAACCAGAAAACGAAAAAAAAAGGAAAGTTAGTAAATAAATAAAAAAGTACAAAAGGCAAAAACGAAAATGAAACATTTAAGTAAGAGTAAAGCAACAATTTTAAAAATAATTATTAATTATTTTTGCTAAACCCGATAAATACAATTGATTTAAGGGAAATTTCACGTCCGTGAGGGGAATTGAATTTTGAAATTTGAGTTAAAAATGGTTAATTTTGTAATTTTATTGATAAAGAGCATGTGAAATAAGGTAAAAAAGTGGATTGCTTTTTCTAACAAAAAATAAAAAATAATTTGTGTGTTAACATTTAAAGCTGCAAAATATAGGCGTTGGATGACCAACTTTTGTTGCCGCTGACCTGCTTTTTTTGTCTTTTTCGGCAAAGAAAAGATCACCTTCTAACCATTGCCATTTATTTTGTTTGAGAATTACAAACTATGCCACTGTGTCGTCGATAGCCAATCCAGATTTTTCTTCGGACACCCAGGCGGCCAGGCGTGCCTTTAGATTGGGTCGGATTACATACAGTGGGTCCAAAGTTATTTCTGATTTAAATTGCGTGTAATACCGTGGAAGAAACTTGTTTCTCTTTGCAACTAAACTTTCAAGACATATCTGAGATTATAATATAAGAAAATCATTCCAGTGGTTGAAGAAAAAGTATACTCCTCTTTAGTAATTAGGGTTCAAACTTTAAGTTAGGTATGAGAAGCAAAATTTTCAGAAATCTTTTAATATTTTAACGGAATCAAAGAGGTGTATTCAAATTTTCTCCATGCATGGAAACTAAGTTAGAAGATAACCATATTTATAAAAGAAAAATATAAATAAGAAATATGAGAAGTTTTTTATGAAAATGTGTGACGAAGAAATTGTCGACATGCAACCATGTTTAGTTAAGCCGGTGATCGCGTCACCTGACCGAGGGTAAGATTTATGATGTGTTCGAATCTGAAAGAATAAGCAAGCACGGGACATGGAAGATTTACTTTTTTCTGCATAAGAGAAGAAAAACAAACAGTAATAACGCACGGTGCAAGGAATGGTTTTTCATTTTTCTTGTACATTTTCAGTCATTTGAAACTTTTCTTTCATCTGAAAGAGAAGATCGATCTAGCTTGTCATTTATGGTGTTATATTCGGTGACATATGGGCAAGGGTAAGATGCTTGTATCCAAAAGTAAGTTCGAAAAAGGTGACATCGGATTTATTGATTTACGGAGTGGGAGAGTGTGGTCATGCCAGTATTGCTAATTGTAATCCAACTTTGAGAATCTTGACTGATTTTTTTTCAAAAAAATAAATAAATAAATTATGACTGATCTTTTGTTAGTTACGGAATTTATGCGTGGATGTTTATCTTTAAACACTCATTCTTGTTTTTTCTTTTCTTTTTCGTTTTAGTTTTGATCTTATTCATCCTTGGTTGACCCCTCAATGATTCAACGTTTTTGAATGGAACTGTCATTTGTCGCGTCGCATATGACATGGAACGGAAGGTGAAAACGACCATTTGACATCGGTAATATCTATAGCTATTGTCTGTTGATGTTTTCAAGTCACTGCTCATCGAATCATGATTTTTTTTTTTTTTTTACTTGTGTGAAATTCAAATTTACATCTATATGAATTTTTCTTATACTTGTCTTGACATAAAAAACAAATTCACTTATTATATGGACTTATTCTAAACTTTTCTGTTATATGATTTGTTACAATGACTTATTAGTAATTGATGGCCTTATTTTCTTGTTCTTGTTACAAACAAGTTAAAATATATATATATATATATTGAATTTTATAGAATTTATGTTAACTTAAAGTCATAGAAGAAAAACTGTGTTTGACTCTTTGGCAAATTTATGGTTTACAGGTGTAAATAAACCGAGAAGCACTGTGCAGCGGCGAGCTTCTATAGTGTTTGGATCTACACACTTTTCAAGCTAAGCGAGTGCAAAAAGTCCCATTGGCAGCTTTGTTGAGCCAAAGTCGCTTCATGAGTGAGTTGGGCAAGTCAATTATATACCTACTTGTGCTTGGTAGGTGAGTCGCTCCACTTGTCCGAGGTTGTCAGCCCCTGTGTCTCGGGGTGTCAAACTTACAGTAGCGCACATGCCCACCAGACCAAGTATTATGATGGGCCCCTACCTCTTTGACTGCGAAATCAGGAATTAGTATCCCTCTTGTGCCCTTGTTAACCTGTCTAAGAATCCACTAATTACCCATTTTAAAGGGCAAAAGCATTAGGTCAGAAGATGAGTATCCACTACTTGGATTATGGGTTTTTAGACCTTTTATCTTGTAGCAATCAGCCTGGGATAGACAGAGCATCCCCAACGCCATGAATCTCGGACTTGGGACACAGTGGCACCTTCAATATTAGTTAACAACACACTAATTCTCGAGCTAGAGCCTGGTGCCTTTTAACTCATATTTTACAACTAATGCAAAGATACGGGAGTTTCCATTTTCTTTAGCGTGTATTAGTTTTTTTTTTTTTTTTCCCATATTACGCTACAAGTTAAATAAAATATATAAATTTTTTAAAATATATATATAAAATAAAAAATAAAAAAATTATTTATAATTTTTTTATTAAAAATTTTATATTTAACTATTTTTTGTTTGTGTTTTTCATAATTTTTTTTAAAAAAATTATCCTTGTTAATCCATAGATTATTAACTAAAAAAAATTTTAATAATTTTTTTACAAAAAGCTTTAACATTTCATGAGATTGTATAAAAAAAAACATAAATAATAACTATTAAAGGCTTATATAGAATTGAACAAATAATTTTTTTATTTAATGTTGATAAGAATATTGGTTTTGGAAAAAATGTGAATTTAATTTTTATATATTTATTTACAAAAGAATGTATAATATTAACATAAAAAACTATATTAATTTGAATTATTGAGTGGTTAAGTCAAAACATTATTTTAATTATTTAATTCAAAAATAAATAAATAAATAGTAAATGCTTAGTGTAGAAAAATAATATTATTATAATATGATCATAATATTAATAACAGATGATTATATTAAAAAAAAAAATTAAATTAGTAAATTTTAAATAATTAAAAGAAAATACTAAAACAAAATGAAATCAAATCATAATACTATTAAAGTTTGAAATTGAAAAAAAAAGTATAGAAAAATTGAGTATCAAAGTGTCAAAAAAAATGACATGAATAGTGAAAGAAATAGTGATTTGTGGGTATGTGAATAATAATTTACGAATGTGTAAATAGTATTTTAAATAGTAAAAATGAATAGTAAAATCATGTTTTACTTTAGTTTTTTTAGTAATTTAATAAATGTTGTTTGAAAGCATGACTTAGACCGAAAAAAACACTAAATTAACATTTTTTGGATTAAAGATTCATGATATTCCTTAACAGTTTCAAATGTCTTAATCGTATTTTTTTATTAAAATTTTTAATTATTATGTCTTTATATTCTTAATTGCATCTCGTATTTGATCTTTTTTATTATTTTTTCATGCAACGAAAACAAAATAACAAAACAAAAAATATCAAAAGTTGTTTTTGTTGTCTGAAAAAATGATTAGAGGGATCAAATGCAGCTACAATTAAAAATAAAGAGATGCAATCATTGAAAATTTTAATATAAAAACGTAATTAAAACATTTAAAATAGTAAAAAAACATAATTAACCTTAATCCAACGTTTTTCGCATTTCCAATCATATTTGACAGCAATACTATAGGGCTTAGATATATGCATCCGTCTGGAAACCGAGCTGCTCATGTGATGGCAAAGCATCCAATCACGAGTTTTTATCCAGTTTTATTTGGTTTAATGAAGCTCTATTATCGGTTGGTTTCGTCAAAAAATATAAAAATAAAAATCTGCACTTCTGATGGTCCCCACAAGTTGGAAGTGTTGACCAAGGCAGGGATGTTATTAAACCTGTTCAAATTGAATCCCGGTTTAAAATTTCATTGCGGATATCATTTATGTTCCCTCTAATTATTTATGCGAGTTTTACTGCTATGACTGAAGAGAGCTAGGTACGGAATGGTTTAAGAATTTAAGTCCCTGATACTATTTCTTTCACAAATCAATGCTTCTAATCTACGGCAATAACAGACATAATAAAATTTGAAAGAAGTCAAAAAAAAAAAAAAGAAGGTAACACTGTTTCATCATAACCAATACACAAATCACTATCAATCATTTCATTCCCAAAACATTTAGTTATTGTAATTTTCTAGATTCAATCAGATCACCTTGTGCCATGGTGAATAAAACCTCACAACAGATCCTGTGTTTTGTACAATAAGTTAGGAAGATTAAAAAGCCAATTTAAACTTCACCACAAATGGCAATGAAAATCGAAAACAGTTTGACTATGTTCATCTCTAGTTGCCGATATGTCAAACCAGTAACACCGACTATGATAGTGTTTTGGGACCGACGAAACCAGCTCTGAGCTCTTCGAACGAGTGGCCTTCTTGTTCCAAAATTTTTCTCGCTGTTTTAGAGGCACAAGAAACATGAGGCGTGGCAGGTGTTAAGGCCGTCAGCATAGGAATTGATGTAGTTGGAGGAGTTGAGGCCACTGGAACTGGCAGCGTGTTCGGTTTTCTGTTTTCTTCTTCTCCAGCATAGATCAATTTTGAAGGTGTATCCATTGGTGTCTTGTTATAAGGAGGCATTGTCTTTAAAGTTCCACTTTGAGTTAATTTCTGATCCTCCACGAAATCAACAATGTTGAGCCTAGAGGACATGGACAGAGAAACAGGAGACAGGGGCTTCCGGATCAAGCCTGACTCATTTTTACGTGCCTTTGTAGCTGCAGTGGAGGGGCGCTTCTTTTCTAGAGGACCAACAATTTCTAAGTTACTCCTACCTACAAAGTTATATACAGCTTAAAGAATGAAGGAATATTCAAAACTGAAATTTTTGAAATGATTATTATGGCCTATGGCTCTCAAGCAGCATACTAATAAAGTGCCTTGATTGCAACTGACCAAACAGTTGGTTCTTCTGGCTGAAAATGCCAGGCGCTATTCACCGATTAGCGTTCAAAATATTATCATATTCTTGTGTATCCCACTAGCCTATGCCAGAAAGAAAAAGTATGATTGAATAAGGATTTACCAGAGGAGTGAGATGCAAAACCACCGTATTGCCTGTATCTTAAAGAGCTGCTTCGATCTGAGACGCCCTTTTTGTTTGGATTCACAAAGTTAGATGTTTTTTCAGCTTTGGAATTTGGAACCATTGCTCCAACAAGAGAGAGTTTTCGATTACTTGCAACTCCTATGGAAGTTCTTGAAGGCTTCCTCCCGCTCTGTAATGGACTGGGTTTTAACCCGAAAAACGCTTCCTGTTCTGCAATTAGCTGTACCTGAAGCTTCTTCTCGTCCTAAGCATACATAAATAATTACAATAAGAGATGAGAAAATGTGCCATAAAAATAACCCTATACTCTTTCCTATATAGCTAAATGAAATGAGTGCCATACTCTTTGCCTTATTCTTTCTTGCTCCTTCTCTTGCTTTATACTGTTGTACTGCTCAAGCCTAGAAAGAAGTCGTCCCTATAAGTACCAAAAGGATCAAGAGATTTGCCATTTGGAATAAAGAAGAATAAAATTGGAATCAATATCAAAAGCACTGAAGATGTTAAATCAAAGTAAAACAAAGAAGCGCTTACGCCGTCATAAAAGAATGGAGTTCCTCTTTCTTTCTCCCAAGCTGTGGTTTTTGAAGTCAATGCCTCAACCATTGCTACTCAATGACCAAGTGAAACAAAGTGATTCATTTAAAAGATTAGCGATAATTGAAACGCAATTTTGAAGCCGTAAATAATCTAATTGACAAACCATGAGAACGCTTGCATTTGTAAGGCCACGCCGAGTTACACATATTTTAATGACTAAAATAACATCTTTTTGAAAATTTATATGGTGATGGTAAAATATGTTTACCAGGAATTTTGTTAACCATGGCACGGGCCTTCTCAGCACGCTTCAAGGTAAGATGTGCTCCTCGTCCGGAACTGTAACGATTTTCATCCTAGAAAAAAGCAACATGTAAGAAGGTTTAATCAAGAAATGGACAAGAGTTGAACCACAATTTAGCTACAAAGGCAGCAAAAAAGCTCAACCCTGTTGTACTCCTCAAGCCAGGACTCTTCGTCACATGCAGTCAACCACTTCTCCACCTTGTCAAGTATGTCCTTCCTGCTAAAGGCCTCCTCTTTAACCATTGCAATATCAAGCTCAATCTCTTCTAAGAGATGCACGGGGTCTTCAACCCCTGCAAAATGATAATCACATAACAAAAGGACAGTGATATAGTTGCATATCTTTGAGCGGAGAAGTCTTTTTGAACTAGAATTTACAACAAAAGGTTATATTACGCTCGGGGATTAAAAGATCTGCACGTGCAAGAAAACATGTCAATCTTGTTCATTATTCCCACATGAAAGCACTTCTTAAACCTGGTCGGCATTGACATTTTAAAAAATTTCAAGAGATCTACTGGTATAATAATATTCACAGTGCTTGAAGCACACTTCAACTTAGTACTTACCAGATGCTACAGCATCAGTGGAATATTTTGCAGCTGTGTGAGCTTCCAAGACCATGTGTGTCTTCCAGCATATCTCCTCTAGTTCTAACCTCTTCTTCAGGACAAGCTCTTTCACTTTACTTGATTTAAGTTTCTCTAGCCTCAACACTTCCTCCTCAACCTGTGACACAGAGGAGCTGAATAAATACTTAAAACACACGTTAATTCTTACAATGAACTTAGTGAATAACAGTAAATTGAATGAATTACCCATTAGTTTCAACTCACGTGGTTTATAAAGTCCATGGATAGCATATTAGGCTCACTGATCTCGGGTTCTGAAGCAGCAAGTTTACTAGTAACATGGTGAAACAACCTTTGCTCCTCCATTGGAGTGTCCATCAAATTCCAAAGCTCTACAAGGGTAGTTGCAAGTTCTTGAAGCTGGTCAAAATCGAAAGTATTAGATGGGCCAAGCACAACAAAAAGAAAGAAAACCAAGGTTCTGCAACATTAATACACAACAACTGCTTTTACTCAAAAACCAACCTTCTGCGTTCTCTGAATCTTGACCTCCCGCAAACGTTGTATCCCATCTGTTAACTTCTTAATGGTATCATCAGTCATGTCTTTCACTCCTTGGGTGTCATCCAAACTTGGATGGATATCATGTATTGTCTTTTTAAAATCCATACAAAGAACTCCGCACAGAGATTTTACACCATTCACATGGTCCACTATCTGCTTAAGACGGTTGTTCTACAGATGATTCATATATTAAAATCAGCCAAAGAACATCACTATTGCACCACAAACACCCAAATATGAGAACATAAAGTTCCTAAATCACATAGCACAAACGATCAAAATGGATCCTAACACAATGATCATATGCAATTCCCATTCTTACAAAATCAAAATTGCTAAAAATCCAATATGAACATCTCGAACTTCCTTCATCTTCTAGTTTCCTCCATGTCGTGATGCACAAAATAACCAAGGAACTGGATCTCCCCAACTTACTAATTAAGTTCTTGCTGATTAACAAAAATAAAAGATTTTCACAACATAGAATACCAAACAATTAGCATCATCTCAATTTCTATATACAATTCCGAATCAACACGAAACACAAAAAAGTACCTTCTCATTCTCGAGCTCAAGTAACCGTTTCTTCAGTCCGTCTAATTTCTTCATAGACAAGTCAGTCCCGTCCACGACCATACCTTCAGTGGACCCAAAAATCTCACTAGAAACCTTCTCTAATTTATCCACGACTTCAACGAACAATTCCTCCCTCTCTTCTTTCTTCATCCTCATTTCCTCGACTCGCGGCACAATAGCTCCATACTCCTCTCTCAAATTCATGCTCACCTTCTCCTCCTCGCTCTAAAATTAAACACACAAAAAAAAATAATAAAAAAAAAACTAAAAATATATATATACAAGAAAAGAAACGAAGGGTGTTCAGAATTTCAGTTACTTTTACTGGTTCTTCACCAAGAACAGAGCGGATATTTTCGATTTCCGATTCAGCGAGAGCGATTGATTGTTGCAGTTCGGATCTGCATTTGTTCGCTGCGATCAATTTTCTCCGGTACACTTCCACGCATTCTTGTTCAAGTTCGCAAACTAATTTATCTCTTTCAGTATCTGCCTCTCCTACTTCAATCCATATTTTCTGCAATTCTGCAAGTAACAAACCGCAGGTAGTTTCAATACGCGAAAACTGTTTGTTGTAGTTGCTGTGGTTATACATGGTAGCGGTGGTGGTGGTGATGGAGGCGGAGGAGGAGGTGGCCATGGCTGTGTGTGGGTGTGTGGTGATTGCCTGGGGTTTTTGCTTTTAAAGGGAAAAGTAGCCCTTGAAATTTGGAGGAGGGAGCGAGGGAAATGAAGAGAGAGAAACGGAGCGGGATGAGAGGAGCCGTTACATTGGCAAAAGGAAGGAGCAGGAGCGTGATTTTGACACGTCAGTGAAGGGAATGGGGAGGTTGGTGACGTGGCGGAACCAGGAGGGGTGAATTTTTTTATTTAATTAGATATTATTATAATGGTGGGGATGGATTTTTTTGAATTTGAATTTGAGAGTAAGATGATTTCATTTAATTTCCGGAAAGCTAATTGATTTTGTAGCATCCTAAACTTTTAGTCAAATGAGGATTTTTATATTACTCATGAAATAACCATCAATCCTTATTATATGAGAAAGAGATGAATAAAAAGAGAAGACAGAAATAGAAAAGAGAAAATTAAAAAAGAAAATTTGAGCAAAAATGAAAATATTTTTATCACTTTTAATAGGTTCGTTTGCGATTCTTTTTTATTATTATTGTTATCTATCTATCTCTTCAAAAGTAAGCTCATGAAATACACAATAGTTACTCTCCGAGTATTTCAAATTTCTTTAGTCAAACGAAAAAAAGGTTTCAAATTTTATTTTATTTTTTATTTAGAACTCAATTCTTTTTTGTCCGTAATTAAGTTTTTTCTTCTCTTTAACTAATCTTCGGCTATATTTTTTGCACATGATAGTTATGTAACTCGAGAAAAAACAATACATGTCTTAGGAGAGACACTTTTCATAAACATGAACTGATGTCATTTTTATTTGTGTTTTTGGTCATATGATTATTTTTGGGTTTTTCTCCTCCCTCTTCCACTAGGATCAGCAAAGAAAAAAAACAATTATCCTCCCTCTTCCACTAGGGTCAGCAAAAGAAAGACAAAAGTCACAAGTCATTAGATAACCTTTTGGTTTTCTCCTCCCTTTTCCGCCACCACCAACCAATAGTGGTTGAAAAAAAAAAAACAAACTCTATGAAAAAACATAAGATATACAATGCCTAAAAGTTTAATTAATTTAATTAGTACTTGAAAAGTCAAAAGGAGAAACAAACACTCTATTAGATCTATTAGTTTAGAGAAAGTATAGAGAAGTGAGAGAGAAAAGGAAAAAAAAACATAATAGATCAAAAAAAGGAAAGGGACGAAATAACGGATGAGAAAAATAGAAAAGAGATTGGAAAAGGAAAATTAACGAGATAATAAATTAGAGAGAACAAAGGAAAGGAAAAGGTAAAAAGGCAAAAAAATGAGTCATGAATATTTAATTTAAGTTTGTGTTTTTTTGGTCATTTCATTCTCATGCGCCTCTTACATGAAGTTGAAGATTGGTCAACGGAAAAACAAGATTTTATTTCTGAAAAAAAAAATTGAAATCTAAATAAAAATAATAAAGATTAGGAGTTTTTATTCGTTTGACCAAAAGTTCAAAATAATATAAAACCAATTAGCTTTTCATGAATAAAAATTTATATGGAATGATGTGTCATTTGACGAGATAAGTGATTGCTATATTTGAAGAACTTATCCATCTCCTTTGAGTGTCACTAGACATAAATGGCTGGTGAGTTTAAAAAGTCCTACTCTCACAATCGATAAAAGTTAAGTATGATTCGACATTAACTTAACCCAAAAAGTAATGAACTTAGTCTCAATTAACGCAAAGATCGTCAAAAAACACTTCAATACTTATAAACATTAAAAAAACAACAACTTTGATTTGAAGAATAAAGTTTTTTCGTTCAAATATTTATTTCTTTTCCTTTTCAATTAAGTGGTAGTCATTCAAGATCGATCATAGTAATAGTTAACTACGATCATAGTCTATAAGTAACTATAACTCTAATTTAATAATTAAGCTATATATGTGATTTAGTATAAATATTACCATAATCATCAACTACCACTCATCCGTTCGGTTAATTATTATCATCCATCTTTAATTATTATATCTTTTTTTAGAGAGAGAAGCTTTAATCTCTCTCTAAAATTCCAACACTCCCATCCTTTTTCTTCTTTTTTAAGTTGTCGCTTGCCATTTTTTTTTTTGTCAATCATCAACCCCAAAGCCCCAGCTTTTTTCTTTTTCTTTTTATCTTTCTTTCTCTTTCTCATATCCGGATATATAGTGTTTTTTTTTTAATAAAGTCGATCGGATCTCTATGGATCTAGATCTTAGTTTATTTATTTTTGTAAATTCAGATTTGGATCATATAGAACTGAATTTTTATTTTATTTTCTCTCTCATTAAGAATTTGGTTCCCTCCTTGTTAGGGTTTATTTATTTTTGATAAAGGTTTGGTACTCGGAGTTTAGTTGTTTTGATGTTCATGATGAGGTCTCATAAGAATGGATTTTTCATCAATGGGACGAGGATAGTACGACATGTTCCTCTATTATTTCATGATAATATCAACTCATCCGTGATTGTTTGAAACTCTAAGTTCATGTGAAGGCGACTTAAAGTTAAGAAATTCAAAGAGTTTTAATTTTTATCAAAATCATCCAAATTAATAGAAGGATCATTTGTTACTCGCTAAGTCAATTTCACATGTTGTTATGGTCAAGATCTATTCCATATAGATCAATTTAGTTACTACCATTGTTGTCGTTTTTATAATTATTATATAAAAATAGTATTGTATTTATATCTTTATGGATATTGATGAAATACTATTTTGCTTCCTAAAAAAAAACATTGCCAACTATCTTATCTAAAAAAAAATTAAGTGAATAAATAAATTTTATGAATACTCAATCGTATACCAATAAGAACATCAATGTTAAACAAATATGACAACAAGAATAACGACCAAATGAATTTTACAATATAAAATATTTTCAAAACATGTAAATATTCATTCATAATAATTGCAATCAAATTAACAATTTCAACATGAAACAAGTCTCAATATCGCTAGGAACACTTTAAAAATAAAAATTATTGAACCGTGAATGAGTTATCCGTAATTTGTAATCAATCGCATAAATATTCTTTTTTAATACTTACTTTAAAATCATTTTATAAAATGAATAATATCATGGTTAATATCTTCACATGTCCTTATATAATAGGATAAATTTTTAATTTATTACAAAAAAAAAGCCTCGATATATTCTTATAATTTGTGCTTGGTTTCTAATTGATCTTTACGGCCAATTTTTTTGCCAATTGATTATAATTTAAATATGTGTTTTGCACATGATACATGATTTCTTAAGAATACCTTCATGCATAATTAATTGATATTTTTCAAAAGATGATATGATTTTTTTTTCTACTATTTTTAATCTCATCTCAATGTGTTTTGATAAAACAAAATAATTGTATACATATCAAAATTAAAACATCTTGAAAACCTTAAAAACCATTTGTCTCTATGCAAATAACTCATCCTTTCACATTTCTTCTCATCCTTTCTCATTCATTTGCATTACACTCGTCTCCATGGCAAAACAAAACAAACTCTTATTTTTTCTTATGCATTTTTTCCTTCTTCTTTCCTAAATTTGAAATCCTAATTTCGAACTTACGTCTATTCCTTCTTGCAATTTTTTGCATCTTTTTTTTTTTCCCTAAATCGTGTCTTTTTTTAATCCAAATTCAAAATTAAAACCCTAATCGCAATCTTTTGATCTTTTATCTCTTTCAAGTAAAAATCAATTTTGAAGGAAAAATGCAATCAAACTTGTCAAGCAACAATTCTACAACTTCTAATCAAGAACCCACAACATGCAAACTCATTATCGTGAGTGTGGACATCCCTTCTAAAGATGGCATGGACAAAAGAGAATTATGGGATGAGGTTTTTAGTTGTCCAAATTATAGGACTTCGAGGGCTTTTATGGGTATTTTCAATTCCTTGATCCAAAATAGTGTGTTCATGCTTAGCATGCACTATCCAAGCTTTTTAGAACAATTAAAATGCTTGAGAAAGAGAATGAAATTAAGGATTGTAACTCGTCAAATGTATGAAAAGGATGTGATTATGTCATGGTATTTGTTTATTGTTACCTGGTTGGTTAGTGTAAGGGTGTTGTTGAAGAATTTCAAATGAATTATGAAGCTGTTTTAAATGGCAAGTCTTTTTTATTTATACATAGCTTGGGTAAAGTACAATAGATTTGTAGTAAGTTATTTTTTAGTTTGTTTAGTCTTAACTAGGTTTTATAGGTAAAATGAAGCATTCCATTAACTCTTTGTTTAGTCTTAATTAGGTTAGATTGATAGACTTTGTAATAGTGGAATTTGTTTTTATTTAGCTCTTGAAGAATGAATGGTAAATGTAAAGAGTTAAATATCAAGCTAAATAGAATTTATATTTGTATTGCTAGAATTTGTCTATGTTTATTCTTTCAATTTGTCTTTTTGAATGATGATTGTTTGTGGCAACATTTGTATAAATTATGTCTTTGTTTGTGATGTTAGATTTATTTGTTGCGATAAAGAGTAGTGGCAAATTCTATATAATGATATTCAATTTCCTTTTTGGCAACTCATGAAAAAGAATGACAAGCTAGTATATTGGCATGTCTACTTTATTTTCTTTCTCGATATGCAATTTATGCAATATGGAATTTGGGTAAAGTCTTTAATTGATACATTACTTAGGTGGTCCAAATGAGAAGGAATTAATTAAAGAATTAACATACTAAGCTACATGTTTAAATGAAGAGGAATTAATTGAAGAATTCAAACAAAAACGAGATAGTAATTAATGACCCATCTAGCTATCCATATAGTTTCCTTTTTGTAACCCTTCTTAGGAATTTTATTTGCCTTTTGAATTATTGACACATCTCAAGATTTAAACTTTTACACCTTTTTAATACCTCAAACACATGTATTTTTCCCACTTCATGTCTAGGTAGTAATTACAAAACAATTCTACCAAAAGAACTCGTACAAATTATATATACCAAGTGGTCTATATATTTTCTAGACAATGTGGTCCATAA